TTAATTGGTTCTCGCACTAAACGTAAGTACTACTTCCCAGATACAGGGGTAAGTGTGGGTATGTAATTGGCACCTTCAGCGCTCGAAGCACGCCTTGGATACATGCAGAACTAGTGACTCTGTAGTAAAGTCCACTACTTTTGGCTTGTACTTTGGAAATCTCTGTACTATAGGCATTGAAAGCTATGGGGCTTTGTTGAAATGCGCTCTAACCTGATTGCCAGAACTAACTTACATGACTAATTGTACGAAATCACTGACAGGCTCGAACGACAGTTTCATGGTCCGGAACATTCGTGAATATCAGCTGTGTATTTGGCGACGTTTTTTTCTATCTCCCAGATGCTTATGATTTGATTACCGACTGAATTCAACTCGTTTGGTGCTCTGGTGGGTGATTGTCTCAGGGTTAAACCAGTGTGTCTCAACAAGACGATAAATTTGTCTGTCCCTAGGTTCACACGCATCTTGTTTCTCTCCCGTGTCTGGTCCGTACGTAGAAGGCTAAGGGTATCTCACAGAGCTTGAGGATATATTGTGATTGTGCTTTGTATTCCGTGATATCGGTATGCTATCCCGGCTAACACAGCACGTGCTGACGTACATGCCATACACGCCAGATTCCGACGCCTTTTTTGACCTCTGCCAGCAGACATCTCTTTCATTATCACCAGAGTGACATAAAGAGGCTAACTACGTTCGATAATCGTTGCCTTCGCAGCTTAGCTCATGTCTGGTGGGAGCACCACTTGCGCAATGAGCGTATTCGGCGCCACGTCTTTGGTGCAGGAAGAGCGAGGGAACCGCTCAGCACTGTTATATAACGCACCAGGCTCCGATGGCTGGGCCACGTGTTGTGCATGCCAGCACATCGACTCCCTTGAGGTGCATTGTTTGCGCGCCGGGGGTGCGGTTAGAAGAGGAGGGAAGGCCAAACGATGACTTGGTCGAGAGAAATGAAAACCCTCACTTCGAAGTTAGCGTCGGTTGGTGCATCCTGACTGGCTGGCTGGGGCCTTAAGGACGATGAACACGTTTGGTTAGGAACACTTGCTGATGTAACGAAGAACCGGCCCAATGGCGTTTGTGATGTGAGTTACTTTGCCAACCCCCCTTTAGATTCCCTATCCACCATCAAAAATCTGACGTCAGCATTATGTTGCTTTTTATAGGTTTTAAATACATTGCTTAATGTCCTACCTCTTTAGATTGCGGCACATTAGCTGAGGTGTATTTCTCACTCCCAGCTAACCTGTATTGCTGATGATGATCGCCAGAGTGAAAGCTTCCTAGGAAATCAATTGAACTCTGAACGTAGTAATACCATTATGCATCGATTGCTCTCGCGAAACCACCGACAGCTTACGCCTCAAGATTGTTGACCACAATGCCTCATGTGAAGGGTTTTGGTATCATTCTCTCTCATCACTGCACTAAAACCTAACAATTAGTCAACGCGTCATTCTTAACACTATCATAATCCGAATCGTCCCCTACCGTGATGATTTCTACAACTGAGCGCACCTAACCGTATTTAGTAATAGTTGATCGGGACAACCAGTTTATATTCGATGTCCCATTGTCATGTTACACGTGTCCATATCAAATGCTATCGTTGCCTAGCAGAGATCGTTTACATCATTGGGCTCATGGATAAGTCCGCAAGAAAACGTCCTTCTGCTTTCGGTATGCAACCACCACGCCGACCGCGATCTGTGCTGCGATGTTCTTCAACCGCTTCACTCATCCGGAGCGTCAGATGGAACCACCTCAGAAACGCCTTGTTTTTACAGCACAATGTATATACAACCAGCTAGTTTCCTCCATCGCTTACTGACCGTGCGTGTAGCACATCATTTACTGGTATCGACTCTGTTCACGCTGCGGAACACGGCCGCTGGTAGATGAAATCGATTGACCTGGCTGAAAAGACAGCACATGTGGTTAGCTACATCTGCCTACATCAGCTGTTCCGATTCGAAGCATATAAGCTCATTATCGCTTCACGCAGTCACACGTAAGCGGTCGGTGTTGTTAGCGTGCGCATACGTAAGTATCGACATGTATCGTTTCATGCTGAAAGGATCCCAATTCAATCCTATGCATACCTTAGCGTACTTACGAATGAGTATACCACCAATCAACCACTCTGGTAGTTGGCATCGCGATGGGCTCTGTTGGTTGTTTGTCAAAAGGGACGGGCTTGTCAGGCTTTCATTTTCCATTTTACTTTCTTGGTTCCGTTTAGCCTTGTATCGCGAATTGCCGCGTCGAGGATTTAGTCGAGTTGGGTGCAACCCCAGTCGGTCATCTGATAACGGTTTGGTTTTGTAGAATGGTCTGTGGCCTTCGCTCCTGTTGTCGAGATAGATATGGACAACCACGAGTTTCCATCAACAGGCCGCTACTAATTGATTTCCAAGTGGTGCCCTCTCGTATGGCGCCCGTCCTGCTGCTAACCTATCACCCACACTGCAATGCAATGCACACCCCTCCTACCCATCGATCACTCGTTAACAGCATTAACGACGCACTCGTGAGCGGGCTGGTCGATGGACACGCGTGCTTTGAGCTCCAAGTGTCTACCGATCTTTTCATACCCAAGCAAACCAGAGACGGTATGGTATCTATGCGGCGTCCGTCTTATATCCCGTGTCGTTGCAGCTCGTCGCACCGCTCCATGACTGGTTTGCACTTTTACAATTTTAGTCTGTAGTCACCTCCCTCCCACTGCTACCATCTTTCATTTCCCTGTCAATTAACGATCACTATCCTTGGCAAACTTGAGTGTCGGTAATTATTAACCTGAACAAATACGATTAGCATGCGCCACTTCACTCGGCTACTACACTGGAAACGATAGGCCTGTGACTGTTGCAGTTACTTCACATATTACGAAAGCTAGAGTTGATTCCTTGAACCTGCGGAATGATTTGCGTCAAAAAGGTTTTTTCTTCGATCTGAAGGACCGTGTGTCAGGGCCACGGTGAGGACTATCCTGCTCAACAGCATGAGAGTTGGTCCCTTCTGTTTGAGAATATGAGGCGTCTTCAGGTCTTTCATCGTCGTCTGCGACGCATTGCTAGCGTCAGATGGCACAAGCGGGAGCACAACGATGATTTGCGTAGTCAAGTGCTAGGTAATAACATTCAGACTAATTCCTTAGTACAGCATGTAGCATTGGCTAAATTTTGTTGACCTGGGCACATGCTGCATACACCAGGTCACCGCCTACGTAGGAGAGTCTTGTTTGGTTGACGGATGTAGAATCACACAAAGCTCGAGGTGGTCAAATGTTGGTTTGGCAACACGAAGGGAAATTACTGACGGCTTAATTGGGTGCTGTTGGTCCGTCTCTCCTTCCAGATTGTTTCCCACCTGATCAACCTTGTGTTGGTTCGTTGCTCTAAAGCGCATGGCTCGTAGGCGTACCGGCGGCGAATTTACTGTCGCTTTCTTGTCGGACTGCTCCTATTTAAATTGTGTCTGATATTGCGTTACGAGGGGGCTGATAAGTTATGGCGGTTGCTCTCTTCCAAGGGCCTATGACACCCAACTATCTTACATGTAACTGCGCGAAATTCAGGTGTTCGCAGCTCGAATACGCTTTTAGTTTTAGGTTGAAACGGTGGTTGCAATGGCATAAACAAGTTTCACTTCGTTGGAATTACAGTTCATCATGAGCTTTTTACTTCTTTATAAAAGTCAGCAAAGAACGTTCACACTGTCACAAACCCTTGGGAAGGAGTCACTTCCCACATCACTGCGAAAGCCTGAATATCTATAGTTCCAAGGGACATCACTGAAACTGAGCCATGCGGTGGGCGGTCCCCAACCCAAACTAACTCGGCCGCTTGCGATGCTGTCTATGAGCTCGTTATAGAGAACTTGTGAATATCCGCCAAAAAGTAACTCAGATACTGGATATCTCGCGGGAACGTGATGAATTTGTTATTAATACCATGCTAGGGTGTGTTGCAACTTTCAGTGGAGTGGGTGTGGAAATGTTTGAACAGAATTCGTCCAAAGCCATTCTAAAGCTATACAGGAATTTCTGGTTGGGTTAGTGTATGAGTATGAAATAGCTCCACATCTATGGTCCTGAGGCCAGGAAACAGTCAAAAAGAGGTGGCATCACAGTAGGTCTTGGCGGTCAAAGAATTCCTTCACTCAGAAATTGATCAGAAGAGTCATGGCGTTCGTTTGCTGGGACAAAGACCGCCTTCTGTTGTTGGACTACCTATCTCGCGGCTCCAGTATCACCGAACCATATTATGCTTACCTCCTGGACAAACTGAAATCGGTACTTACAACAACGTGACGTGGGAAGTTCACCCAAGCGATCTTTATTTTGCACCTGCGCTTATGTTCAAAGCTATGGCTACCAAATTGCGTACACTGGGTTTCTAGTGTATTCACCATCCTTTTTACTCACCTTGTCCCGAACACGATGGAATACGATAAGGGTAATCGTTTCGAGAACATTTCTAACGTCCAACATTCTGCTGACAGCTAGTTTGCGGCCCAACCCAAAAACTTATTTGAACTGTCCACAAAAGCCGAAACCCCTCTGCACAACCTGCATCAGTCTCAGTTGGAAATATGTTGAGTAAATGGGCTACTGCATACCTCTAATTCTGTTCTTTCTGGCCAAAGCCAGAAAATTCTGGGCATCCAATCGTATCTGTGGATTAAGGCTGCTCCTGATGCAGGGCAGTGAAAGCCGCAAAAAGGCTGTCTCACCATTGCGGCCTTTACACAGCATCCAACAGTTTGTGACTAACCTTGACAACCTACTACACCTTGATCCTGAATGTTTTCTTAGAGAACTTAACTTTTACACTAGTTCTCTCTTCTTCATCGTTCCCTAGGTCATTATGGTTGACCATGAGGATAAGAATATAGAATGCCATTTAGGGTGAATTCACATTTTCAGTATATATACGTATCTTTTCAACCGTGAATTACCTTCTTTTAGCTTTTTCAGGCTATTGGCTTTCATGATGAAGTCACAGTCCCACAATTCGATACCGAAGACGAGTAGCCCCGATTCAAAAAATGAACAGCATGCGAACGGGCTGTCAAATTACTTTGGATTGAATTATGCTCAGCAAACCGCCTTGATTTGGGCAAACGCTGCGGCAGTCGCTGCGGCTGCATCCTCGTCCCCTTCTGCCTCGTACATGCCGGCTGCATCTCCCATACCTCTAGACTCTGTTAGCGGCCAAAAAGTATCGAAGTCTGCTGCGTTCCCTGCTACTTCCTCTCCCTCTTGTTCTTCGTCGTCCTCTTCCCTTGGACCCGATCACCAGGATTCGCACACGAAAAGCAAACACCCTTTGCCCGTCGTCCATCAAAGCAAGCAAACTCAGCGTTCTGCTGGAATGACCAAAGCGAGTCGTTTGGATAAACCCGTTCCTTCCCCTTCAACTGGTCATAATAACACCATCTTGGGCAACGGTCGCATGGATCCTGCCACCATGATGATGGGTAAGTAGCCCAACTATGCTTCTGGCTGTTCTTTAAAACACCACTAGAACTCTCAAATTCCAAATCTAGGATGTGGGCACATCCTTATTACCATAACGGCAACCAGGCTGCTAGCTGCTTGTGTTATTCAGTATATATTTGCAAAAGTCTGCTAACAGACATAATGCCATCAGAAACCATGGGATTCAAACGAAAGTACAGAAACAATAAAATAAAACACAACACAACAATGTCCATGGTTTCCTCAGAGGGCGGGATACTACCCGGTTGCCCAAGCCGGGTGTCAGCTTAGTGTTTCTACCTCTGACTACCTTGCTGTGGAGATCACACCCATCGGTTATCGCTGGTTAGACCCACTCATAGTTGTAGCGATTTTGCAAACTGCTTTAATATGTCACTCAATCCAGAGAGCTGAAGCGCTTGAGTGGCTAAACACGAGGTCTGAAACTGCATCGTTGAAAACGAACTCATGAGACTCAAACTTAGTGATTTGTATAGCATGCGTGTACTTAGTACAATACTAGTTTTTGGACCGAAAACGAGTAAACGAGTAAATATTGTTTTTCGTGCGCGTTGTTACATATCACCTTTACCAGGGCCGGAAATCCCCGGTTTCGTTTGGGGTCATCGATCTTGCAAGAATTCCACCATTGTTGCATTTGATCATCGGCTACGTTATATTTCTATCCAATGTACTTGGAATATCATTGGTTGGCCCTTCGTTTTCGCTTCCATTGATTGCACGGAATGCCGCATGATTTGCAGCGCACCTTCTGGCGCGGCATGCGGCTCCCGAAGGACCAGTAGCTAGGTCAGTGCACTGACGAATCCAGGGGCCTACAGTTTATCCTCACGTGGATCCGGCAATATAGATTCGGCGACTGATCTCTGACCTCGTTTACACTTTAGTGCTTGGACAGGGAGAATTGTGGAACGGGCGCATCGGTCGATTCGAATGAAGTGTATTCTGGGGTTGTGCAACCATGTTATGGAATACGATGTTGGGACCGAATACCATTTGATATTCATGAGCCTCAGATGCACCCAAACCAATCGCACTGATCCGGGTCCACTTTCAAGCAAAGCACGGTTCGAGTTGAGTTGCCGTGTTATATGCTCCATTCCCACAACAACTCATGCCCCAGCTAAGCCCACAAACGATAATTAGAAACCTAAAAATTCCATCTAACTCTAGATAACATGGAATGGAAGAAGCGTTACCCGCTGTGCTCGGTGGGATAGTGTTATAGGGACTGACGGAAATTTCCGTGCCCTGGATCAGAATCCCAGCTAAAACGTCGTTGTGGACGGCCTCGGTTTGTCTCGAACCTAGGTCACTTGTCAACTCCGATGGAACTGCGTTTGCTACCGATTTGTCGTTTGAGCTCACATGATCGACGGACGTTTGCTGCCATTGGACATTGTTGCAACTTGCATCATCTTTAATGCGTGTTTATAAACATCTGCTTACACACACTTTTCTTGATACCACAGCCACAGGCGAATCAAAAGTCCGAATAAGGGCGCAAGTGACCATGGAGCGCAGTGTTTAGGACAGGTAGCACTTGAACTTTATCTGACGCCACCCTTGTTCTCATGGCTCTTCGACCGCTGTGCCGGTATAACAATGGAAACTACAACTAGGTCGTGTTGCTATACGGGCAATGTAATTTATGTGCTTATTTTTTGACGCGATAAGGCTACTCCTCTTTAAGTTTCTTCCTCCACACCTTCCAATGGGTGCCCGTTTGTTGTCACAGCTTATCACAGGCGGCTCCCTCACCGGCACGGGCCGGGACAGACGTGGCCTTCACAATATTGGAGTGACCTTGGGAGGCAGGAGACTAGTCTGCATAGGTGTGACTCCAACGCAAATTAAGGTTTACAAACCCAAAATGCCGGTGATCGATGCTACTATGACAGACAGCATCCAGATGCCGATCTCGAGATTCGACAGATGCATCCACGCGATGCACACGATACCGTACGGGCTGTCTGCTAAACCACCTGTTACTCCTCGGAACGTTGAACACTGGCATTCTGTTGATGAACTTGTGACTCGCGGAGGAGGGTTGAACGTTATTATGAGTTCCGTTTTATGTGATCATGACTGCGATTGGCATTTTGTTGATCACTTCCAATGTCACGCGTAGTTTGTAATTTTTTTTTTGATAAGCATAGCTAGGCACAGCGTCCTATCTAGAAGTCACGTGGGCTCACTTCTGTATTTTTTGCATATGGTGGAGTGAACATCGTTGAATATAAGAAAGCACGGCGGCGTCAAAATGGGCTCATTACCCTCGTAAACTCTTTTGTGACTGCTGCATTGCTACTCACATTCATAAATCTGTCGTTTTGTTCTTTGCATTGTGTGTCCTTTGTACTCGAGAGATGGCAGCACTTAGCGACTCAATGTCAATGCTTTTCACTTCAGCGAGCCTATTTGCTGGTCACTCCATCGACAATCGCCTTGGGATGTCCGGACTGCCACTCCCGGATTTGTCTTCGTTCGATCCGTTGGCCAACAGGAAGCTAGATCAACGCAGTGTAGATGCACCGAAACGTGCCGATGATCCCGACGGTTTTTCCGCGACTGCTGTGACCCACGAAGCCCTACTGGCCAACCAGTTCCTGCACACCTTTTCCGGTCTTCCCATGGCCTATCAACGCCAGACCAAGCAACAACAACCACAGCACCTCCACCACCCCGAACAGCAGCAGCAGCAGCAGCAACAACAACAACAACAGCAGCAGCAGCAACAACAGCAGCAGCATCAGCAGCAACAACAACAACAACTACAAACCGCTGTTCTTTTGGCTGCAGCTTTAGCTCGTGAGGCGGGATTTTCAGGAGTCCCACCGGGTTATCTGGAGAGCCTAGTAACCGGAAGTGGTGGGCATCCCGGGACAGTGGACAATGCCAGCATCCGAACTGAGAATTCGAACATGACGCCTATGAGTGCGGGTGCTGCCACCAATCTGGCCTACGCCCAAGCAATGGTGATGGCTATGGCTGCCGCTTGCAGCGGTAACCCCCCTAAAGTGACGTCGTGTAAGTCACCTTGGCCTTATAATCCTCTTTGGTTTACCTGTAAAGTGTTCGATTTCTTAAACACGTGAGCACTTACCACTTATCTTAATACCCACTCGGCCAATGACAAGCCATATGGACTGCTATCAAAGTTAGAAGCCTCACTCATGTGAAGCCATAGAGAAGCTCTCATTCGGAAGTGCATGACTTCCGCGTAATTTGTCCCGAAACACAACTAGAATCTAGTAAAGAGAGCCGGTAGACCTATCACGCGGAGGTTATCGTAGCTCTTTGACAGATGAAACCATGGTTCGACTACACGACTGCCTGCCTGAGAAAAGCTAAGCAATTGCTTTTCATGCAACCCTACATTGATGGTGGAAGTAAACCAATTTCGCCGGAACCGATTGGACCATGCTTGCTTTCTGACTGTTGCGATCGAGGGTGCGTTTAATCTGTCCCATGTTTGGACGGTATCCGACGTGTGTGACCACATACATTACTTTGAATTCTTTTGTCAATCCTTTTTCTTCATGCTCGTGGTATCGTAGTTTTAAGTGGAAAATATATTTTACCCAAACTGCCTAAAATTTCGGATCAGCTGGATGCTATCCATCTCATCACAAGACCTTCTTCAAATGAATGAATTTTTTGCTCAAAATTCCCAACCCCTTCGTTCTTGCTCTGCGTTCACAGCCTCGACCCTCCCTTCATCTTCCTCATCATGTACCGCTGGAGCTGGAGGCTATGATCTCCTTCCATTCGGGACGTTGGATCTAATTGGTGGAAGTTCCACTCAGCCCGGAAACGCCACGGGTGAACCTGCGGAATCATTCAATGAAGTACTCAACTTTCTGAGTCACTGTCTAAACGCTCCCAAAGTACTATCTGATAGGGTGAGTTTCTTGCACTGTTCACCGTTCATAAACGTACATCCTCATTAGGGCTGTCTTATCACTAGATACAGCACTTCTTAACTTCATCTATAACAGAGGCATGGAAGCAGGCCAAGTAAATTACAACACTTTTACTACCTCATACGCATTAGTTTACGTTTCATTTCACCTCTGTCGTTTGTCGAGAGAACAGTTTAGAACTGGCGGGCAGAGTTGAGGAGGCACTCGGGGCCGACGGCTTGGTAACCGACGGGGTACTGCCAATCGAGGAGATTCCAAGCTACTGCAACTTAACTGCTTCTTTCTAGTGGGCTCCGCAATTGCCTCCGCTCCTGTAGAACCCATGCTCTGATTCATCAAAATGACAAGTATACTCGTCCGAAACACTCCTCAGGTTGATGTCGTTGAACTGCAGACAGCCGCCTTTACTATTACGCCACCGAGCTCAGTGAGAGCTTTTTCCGCAATCGTTACGGATACATTGTCGGTTTGCGTGGAGCACTGTTTGCTTAGATGTTGTGTACTCAAGTCAGGAACGACCTTACTCAATGTACTACACCCAGTTGTTTAGTTAACTGTAATCATATGTAGGCAACCCATGGTGTGCGTATAGGTGTCCGTGGATGTGGGCACGTTGCACGAGCCTCAACTTCGTATCGAGCAGGTGGTTTTGTTTTGCGAACTAACCTGTGTAGCGCCATGCTGTTTGTAGACTCGCTAGCGGATGAGGGCAGGACACGATCCGCTCGCTTGTTACTTGTGAATAACCGTACAGCCATCTTCTAACTCGTAGGCTCCTGGGTCACAGGGGTGTGTTATGAGATCCAATAACACCGCATTTCCCTCCACCAATGCGAATGCTCCAGATTGGAACGGAGTATCAGCCTTCCGATAAGTGGCTTGACGATGTTCTAACTCGTTACTATTGTTAGCCTCAGGAAAGGAGAGTGCGGCATTAAGGTTTGCCCATAGACGAGGCTGAAGCCTAAGTTTTACCAGTGTCTTGTCCTTGACTGGGTTATGTACTTGTAGAATGCTTGTAGAATGGTATCTTCCTGACATGTACCAGACTGACGAATAGCTTGGATGCTATCTTCCGACGATCAGTTGAAGCGCATGATCATGCCGTTTACCGATGGATTATACGGATGGCACCTAAGTCTCTGATGATGTGAATTTGCGGATGGGAATGTAACTGCGAGCCGTTGTCCGTATCTATTTCCTCTGGTGATCCGAAACGAGAAAACATATATCTGAGCCATCTGATACTACTCGCATTAGACATTTCTCCACACAAGTGCACTTCCGGCCACTTACTATAAAAGCAAGTTGCCATCAAACAGGTCCTCTGATGCTGTGGCGCTAAGCCGAACGGGCCTATGGGATCAATAACTATGTTTACGCACTGTCGTATATGATAGTCAGCGGACTGCATATGAGTGTAAACCAGCCTTGAAATCTGGTCTGCTCTTTGGCATGCACCGGTTTTTCAATTTCATGTGTCCTTCTGGGCCACTAGAGACATGAGTCCATCTTACCCTTCTTACGAATGATGCCAGAGTGGCCCTCGTTATGCATTAAACACCCAATTCGGAATGATTATTCATGACCTACCTCGTAATAGCGACGAACCTATCCTGCATTTTTCTTTTTTTACGGCCAAGGGCAGTCACAAATCGAACTGCGCTTTACCCTTAAGTGAATCTGCGTCAGCCCGATCATTGAGGTCGCAACTGAAGCAGGTGTTATTCGCTGCCAACACCGGTCACTTTCTTGCTTGCACTCTACTGGTTGAGACTGCCGGTGATCGTTTGCTTTCTGTAATTACTTCTCTACCGATGGATTGCATGTGCTACATTCCGACTTACCAGATGTCAAATCTTACCGCACCAATTATTCTATTCTGTTTGCATTGACTTGGATGTAGCTTAACGTTTATTTTGTACCGTAATTCCATGCTCGAGTTTCCTCACCATGAAAACCAGGTAGATCACGCGCTACCGTTTTTTCTCCATCTTTTCAGCAAATCGCTCCCTCACGTTCCCCTGTGGACGCCAAGGGAAACAGCTCCGTGGCACCACCGATTGCAAGGAGAGGCCCCAGAGGCGGCGGAACATCGAGATCCCGTGGGGCCAATAGCGGGGCCACTGGCCAATCGGGCACGATGCGGTGGGAGCATCCGGTCGTCACACCTGTCACAGCACGGCACCGTGGCCGCGGACGGCCCCCGAAATCGGCAACAGTTTCCGTACACTATCAGCCACACCCGAGGCAAACCAATTCCTTCGGTGCAGGAGCAAAGTCTCAGGTGATCACCGGTAGCATAGTATGCCATGGTGCTTCATTATTTTACTTTGCACGTACGCTTTCCTCCAAACTGAAAGTCTTGATTCAATCATCACCTTATTGCCTCATTGGCATCATTTATAGCTAAAGATCAATCGCCTATATATTCCGAATTTTAGCTCCATCGTATGGTGTGGGCACATCTTCAAAAACCTGAAATTTTTTGCCTTTGAAAACGTAAGTATTGGGCGTTTATTTCTCGAAGCACACGCACGAATCTTGCTGCGGTTGACGTTTTCGGTCAGCAACCGACACAACCGGTTACAATGTAGTTTTCATTCTAATTTTTCCCGCAGGTCAAAGAGTGAAGCACACACGCACACCCATACGAAAAGTTTCGTCGACCACCCTCTAACTCGTGTGCCCTTCATGTGCAGTGTCGACCAGCTTGTCCAACAAATTTCTGTCACTTTGATGAGCGCTGAATCGTTGTCTGTCGATAGTAGCCTGGGGCTGCCTATATCCATGGAAAGGAATGCTTGATAAGGTCAAGCGCGAACTGTTTTGAACGACTAATGGAACCAATACTTTCCTGCTATATACAATCACCGGTCTGAACGACAGGAGAAAGCGCGTTGCTTCCTTTAAACTAGGAGCGCGAGAATCACTCATTTGTGCTACAACTGGTCATTTCTCATATCAAAGGGTGAAGTGCCACGATTCAATAATGTTCTAGGACATATCTGCCTCTTAAGCACCTTCGTTATTGGGATTCGCGCAAAGGTTGCAAACACTACCATCCGACTCCAACATTTTCCAGCCTTCCCGCACAAACATCGCGAGCTACCTTGACCAGTGAAGCTGCAGCGATCTCTCTTCTACTTTGGATCCTATCTGGATGATCGAGTTTAAAACACTGATGATGAATCATGTGCCCGGAGAAATTTGGTGCAGCTACGCATTGAATTTCACCCTCCGGCTTCAACGGAGCGTTCATTCCACCACATAAACTGACGGTTTATCAAGCACTACTGTTGATCCTAGCTGGATCGTTGTCCCTCGCTGACGGACGGGAGCTGAATCCAATGCCAATTGGAAACACCGCCGAAACGCCATGTAAAATGCATTGGAAGAGACTGTCCGCTTATTGTGTTGCGTCAGAATAATAGGTGGTATTATGACGCATCGATTAGTTCGAATGAAGCAAAGAGGTTGATTTCATCGGCTAATCAGTTTCAGGTTGTTTTCGGAACATGTTGGGACGACGTCCCATTAGGTATCTAACGGTTGCCCGGCAAGTGTAAGGGGATCAATGAGATAGAAACGACCAACTGAGTCAATTAGCTTTGTAGTGGGAAGCACTACACCCTGCGGATGGTGCGTATTGTTTGGTTCCGGAGCGTATGTTGAACGAAATATCAAATTAGGTGCTCGGTTTTGCACTTTTCAAGTCTAGCTCATTCGGATGCTTCCAGACCCACTGCGTTACAGACTCGCCGAAGGTCAACGGTGTCTTTTACAATGTAGGAGCAGATACAGCTGCTGTAAGCAAGGGAAGATGTGGCACCTATCTCTGAGCCTTTATTGTACGATGCGGCTAGCGCACGGTTGGAGGACAGACGTCCATCAGCGATCATGCGTTGATATTCTTTGCAACAGTCGGAATTTCGATGTGTCAAAGCGAATACCCCTGGAGGCTGCAGTAGCCACCGAAGAACGACTGTTAATATGTTCCTATCGGACCAAAAGCAGCACATCACCCAGTGCCTCTCTGTATATGCCGGTGATATGTTATTGGGGTTGATAAAAGATCCATCAGTGCAGTCGTGGTACTGTTGATAACTCGAAAGCATTGACACTGAATTAAACTGAACAATAATAAGAGAACTCTATGACTTACGAATGCAGTGGAAATCGAGTCATATATATAGGAAACAGTTATAGGAGACGTCTGTTTTACCCTACCTTTACCGGGCATTTTCATACTGCCGTTTGTTAGCCTAATCTTAGTTCTGGTTTCGATCTATTAGTTAACAGCCGCCATCCGTTAAACTGAAACTGGTGTTTATGCACCTGCAGTTGCAACGACTTTCTGAGGAATCGCATGTCCTTTAGCAACCGAATTCGGCTACCTTTGTTGTTCGATGCTTGTCTGCTTGAGATGGTTTCTGCTGAACTGGCAGCAAGAAAGTGCCAATATGGAACGTTTAAAAATGGAATATACAACTGAGCGAGGGACATAATGTAGGCGATGCAGATGCACCCACTGCCTGTGTCGCTGACTCAGCCGACTGGAATTCCCTGAAGTCACGAATACAACTTAGTCTACTTCGACTCCGAAACTGTGCATCAGTGACACAGACCGCGACACTGTGCTGACCTTTGAAGTCGTTTTTTGGGGATTGTTTGAAATTGTGCTTTGCGCCAAAGCATATCGTCATTGTACGAGACAGAACCGCGCTTGACTACCTTATTTCTCTGGATACGGTAGGTTTTATCGAGTTACTCCTTCATGTTTGGTACAATACCCCCGACGTATGGTAACTTGTTTAAAGTAGGTGCAGTGAACTTTGATTTCGACTGCTTGTCTTCGTTTGTTATCGGTGTACTTTTAGACAACATAGAGCGTGGGTGTTAGATCAGCTGAGGCGTCAATAAGCGCCTCCCCTACACTTTTATCATGAACACGATTGACGTCTTCTCCATATATCACAGACCCGCATCGGTATGCCACAAACTACACGCTTGTTGACCATTTAGACTTTCTTCCAAACGGAATATCTGAATTTTTCCGAAATATTGTTTTGCTTACATGGACGCTTTTCTAACTACCCTGCTCATCCGCCGTCACCTGGATCGATATCAACACCAACCAGGTTTATGTACTCTTGTCTCGAACATTTTAACGACAGATACCTTGTGCCTATTTTTATCGTAAAATTGGCCAACCTATTCAGTTCGTAGCCCGAAATACCTACTAACCACTAGTCACTCCAATCTTCCGACTACCACGCATCGTTGTTCACAGGATGAGCCGGAGATGTGCTCACAGCTTCCCGAATTCACGGGCAGTTGCTGTACCCGGCGCTCCTCGGGTGCGACGAACGCAACGGATTGCAGTGTTGAGGAGACGATCGACGAAGTGTTGCGACATCTTGCTGCATGCGATTATGATCCAGCGTTGGTGGCTCTCCGCTATGCCTCGACTCCATTGGGTGCTGCATTGAACCGGAAGCGTCCGAGAACTGGGTCACTACCGGTACCACTCTCACCATCACCTCCAATTCCAGGTGTATCTGGTGACATTGGCGTCTATCGTGGAGATCCAGGGGAGGTATTCTCCCAACCCAGTGAGTGACTTTGTACCTGGTTGCAAATCTTCTGTAATGTTTTTATAATTGTTCTTTGAAAACCCATATCAAGGCGTGAAGATTCTGATGCGCCGCACAATTTTACCCATCACGATATAAGTGCAATTTAAATTAAGGATTTCGTTAAGAAGGTCATTGAACCAGGAGTTCGCGTCGTTAAAGTGCTTGAGACGTCTTCGCTCACTTCTATCCTTCGGCGCTGGTGAACAGATAGATCATTTTCGGCAGTTCTTTAGTTCATAAGCTAAATGAGTAAGTAAGTACCTTGTTTGTTCCCTAAGGTTTGGCTCTACAGGAGAGGACTGGAATTTAAGATATTCGTACTCGACACTGTGACTGACACAGTGAGCCAGTAGGCGTAAGTAAATGCTGTCACTGTCACGCCGAGCGTGAGTTGGGACTGGATCTTCAGCATCCTTTCAGTCCTTTTCCAATCATGAGGTAGCTTGCTATAGTGCACTGGTACAAGGTTTCGCGTCGTACATGGACTATGTTCATTGTGCGGTTAACGATTGCACGAGCACCACTCTCAAAACATCTCTTCGCCTGATGCGACACATCCATGTTAATGGGTTTTGACACCAGCAATTGACGAGAATCTCCCATGTGAGCACAATTCCCTCTGGTTACCAATTCATGGGTCATTTACGTGGATGTCCAGAGGGAGTTGGAGGCCACTGATGAACACGAACGGGGTGTGTTTTTGAGTGCTGAAGATGAACCCTTGGGTGACGTGACGACGAGCGCGTGTTACCACGCAGACCTAGTCCAAGTTTGGGGGTCTCTTCTCCACTGTCTACAACAGTGACACTTCAGCCCTTTGCCTCATCGCCATGTACTTCCGCACATATGTGCGAGTTGTACCTCTCTTCTCCCTCTTCTTTACACTACAAAATCTTGCCAACGTTTAGATATCACTTATATGACAGGGGTATCAAACGTTTCCCATGTAAATGCACTAACCATCGAGTAGTTGGCTTTCGACACCACTCTGTTCTCATCGACCTCATTTCCGGTACGTTCGTAAGAGTGACAGTCGTAAAGCAATCGGTCGGGATTCAGCGAACTAAACTGCTAATGGTTTCATTACACTAGTTCTTGTGCAAATTCACACTAATCGCCTACGATTGTCTCATCTCTTTTCAGATCCAGCGAACAAGCGCGCTCGAATCGGTCCGTCAGCCGAGTCCGGACTCAGGCTACCCCTGGCTTTGGGGTAAGTCCTGTGAAACCGTTACACTGCATATGATGCCTTCATCCGAGACAGTGAACGCGTTAGTGTCCAGCAGTTGGACTTAGATTGCGATCGTGTGCTCGTAAAGTAATGTAGTGCCGCATACTGAATCAATTCACTATATGCGTTTCTGCTGCGAAGGTTCCATTACCCAAAGGAAATACTCATTGATCGGCACTAGATAATGGGGACTATATTGCCCACTCACAAATTCTCAGATAGGTCGAACTGAAATCCACATCGAAATCATGGTCGCTTGTTCTCGAGTACTGCCATTCGGTTAAGCCTCTCACATTTCAATTTGGCCGGATGCATTTTGTGTTTCAGAATCACCTATTGACACCTTGCGTGCACTGTGGTTGAGTAGAACTGACCTTGGTTTGCCCGTAGGAACCCATTGAGCAACATTCGCCCACATTCATGAACTGGTTAACTTTTTGCCAACCTGACCTATTTGTTTCAATTTGTTGCAGCTGGCGTCGTGAGACTTTGGTTAAAGGAATCGGACCTGGCGGAATCCTTGGGGAAGTGATCTACGTCAGTCCCTGTGGAAGGCGGCTGTGGAATCTGGACAGCGTACGGGAGGTGAGTAGCGGTAACCAACGCCTGGCTCAAAATCCTGGTGCAGTAGACACCATCGTCGTCCTCAGAGAACGTTTTGGTGCAAATTGCTTTGAAGGACATGTCGATCCAGTCAGCCAACACAAGCGCAATTTATTCTAGGGACGTCTGCACATTGTACGCAATATGTAAGACAAGTTTGGTCGCGTAATTAATGTACAACTATAGGAATTTAATCGGAGTGAGTCGATTATAACCACATTCGCCAAACGTTATACCCCGAATTGTGCGAAGCACGCGAGTTGACGCAACCATCTTAATCACTGTTGATCAGACTATATCTTCGATCCACGCACCGGTGCGAAGACTACCATCAAAAGCCTCCTCCGATTCTACTCGCAGGGGCTCATCTCCATTGACACGCGGTCACTTCGTTCGGTCTCGGTCTATACTTTGTTATACGACATTGGTTGACAGCATCCGTCTCCTTAGTTGATTGTTGCTGGGACAGTCACAATCTGCCTGCACTATCATGAAGGATCGTAGGCGGCGTACAGCTACAACCGGTAAATCTATCCAGTGTATAACAAAGGAGTAAGGTTACATGCTAGTGGAAAATATTATTGTCGCCAAGGCACATTACACACAGGTATCTGACTCTACATGACGGAGCGCAGAGGCGATGCCTCAAGCTGATGTATGCGCCTTTTAATACCCATTCAACAGTTCACCTCTGTCAACTCCGTGATTTAAGATGTCAGGGAAACCTACGCACCCGACTGATACAAGTCGGCGGCTGGACTGAGGTTTATCCCTGGATGCTGCCTAAAGAGGAAAGGTGATAGCGGGCATCCTTGTCTCACACCGCTGGAGATATTGAAGGGCGGCGACAGCTTGTCGTAAGCGCTCAATCTGCCCGACCTACCTGCGTAATGCGCTTGCATATTATTTACGTACTTCTCGGACACATCTTTACTTAACAGACAGTCCCAAAGCGCACCTCGGTCCACTGAATCGTAGGCACTTTTTGTGTCGAGGAACACGACAACGGTGGGTCTCCAATTCATGCGACGATGCTCCGACAACTGATGTAATGTGAATACGTGCTTGATGCATCCGCGACCACGACGAAACTCCTCTTGCTCCTCACGAATCTGGCTTTCACGATCGCCAATCAGTCTGTGAATGATTACAGGGGCAAGCAATTTGGAGGCGATGGAGATCAGACTGCTTCATCTATGGTTTCCACATTCCGAACGCGAGCCTCCTTTGGAGATCGGAGCAATAACAGAGCGGCTCCGATTGGGTAGGACAGTTTCCTGCTTCCACGGTTTTACTAGTAATTCGTGTAAATTATCAGCAAGAGCAGGGCTCCCGAATTTGAAGTGGGCTGGAGCAAGACCATCTGGTCCCGCGGCTTTATTCAACTTCAACAGTACGATCTCACGTTTGATTTCTGAGCGAGAGGGCGCATCCAAACGGGCAGCCTAGAGAGCAGGGCGATCCGTGGCCAGTGTAGAATCTAACAATTACTGTCGATTAAATTGCTTTTCAAAATGCTCAGCCTAACGCTCCAAACTTTTTAGCAAATTGTGGACAGGCTGTCCACTTTCGTCATAAATTGCTTCACTACCACCAGCTCTCTTGCTACCCGTTTCCCGGATCAGACGGAACAACTTCCGATGGTTGCTAAGGGCAGCGGCCACTTCCCTCTCTGACACACGATGAGACCACCAGGATTCCGGGTCTCTCTTCAGGCTAGCACGAAGTTTTGCCCTGATAACTTTGCAGGTCCCGTTTTGTTCGCTTCTAGCCGGAATGTGCCGGGGAGCATCGATTATTTCCAGAGACTGCGAAGAGACCCGTAGTCTATTATGGCCAGTGGATTTACCATTTGATGATTTAGCTGCATCAAGTTAGATCTGGTGAGCACGCGACTGGTGACCTTTAAACTGGATTCAGTGAGCGCTTGTTCAACCCAAACGCCAGCGTACTTCGATACGCATTCAGAACACCTGGTTTCGCCAGTTGGTTGGTGTCAATGCGCTCACAGTGTCGTTGAGGGTGACCGCCAAAATGCATTAGCAGATCATCACATACAAGTGCATGGTCAGTGTTCACACATGTGCTCCAAATCGAGCGACAGTTTTGGTCGCAGTCACTCCAGCGATAACTGATCGCGATGTGATCGAGTTACGTCCATGGTTGGTTGGAGGCTGGTGAGCGCCATGTCACCTTCCGACGGGTGCTGTGTCGGAAGTTAGTGCTCGCAAGAAATAAGTGCGCATCTTCACCCAAATGAAGTAACCGCTCACCGTTATCATTACGGGAGCGTACACCAAGTTGAACGCCCAGATGCAGCTCATCAGTGGACGATTTCCCAACTTGAGCGTTCCTATCCTCAGCATGCACAACTGTGTCCATACTTCTTCTGTGACGAAAGCTCGTTCAGATGACGATAGAAGTCGTCTTTCACGGAATCATCGCTACAGATTGTGGGGTCGTAGGCAGCGATGATGAACGGAAACCTATTAGCCCCGTGTGACTTGGAAGTTTGAACGAACCAGCCAGTTGGATCGCACACATGCGGCTACTGATTGGAATCCAATCAGTCGGAGTAACTTCAGCTAGTGGCTCAGGGGAATACCTACACCGGCTTGGTCGGTACTCAAAGCTGCATCGTCTCTGGATAGGCGCAATGAGAAAGCACCGCTAGGGTTACCTGAAGGGGATCGCAGCGTTAGTACAGAGCCCGGGTTTTATAGGCACCAGATATCGATGGAGAGGGTCTCTAATTTTCGGGTAACTGCTGCCTTTTGACCGATCCGTAACAAGGTGCTTACGTTGAGGCACGGCCATCTGCAGGAGAATCGAGGGCTCCGAAATGTGACGGATGAACTGGGTTTGACCGATTGGTTGGACATGGGCTTGTTGATAGGACAAGAGTGATGCTCCGCGTTTGCATGCGGGTTGAAGCCAGAACATAAGCACTTATCTAAGCATGGTGGGGGATGGCCGAGAATTGGGGTTTGAAAACAGGGGGGATAGAAGCTAACTTGGAATGGGATGATAAGGGTGAAATAGCGTAAGAGAGGAATAAGGAGACAGGAGAACTAGAGCAGTTGCATCCAAACCCCTGTACACCCTGTTCGATGCAACAGATAGGATGCCGTTGATTGTTCTCTGCGGTGGCCAGAGCATCAGGAGATTGTTTCAGGTGCGATGCATCGTACTGCGTGGACAGGATACTGTGAGGTTGCCCAAACCTGGACAGGAGAAGGAGTAGGTTCTGAACCAAAGCATTTGGTTCAAAAACCTGACCGCAAGGCAGCGCTTTTCGCGGTGGGCTACAAAGAGTCCGTTTTAAGGAATAAGGAGCCATCTCATTCTAACCACCAACCTGGAAGACCAGGGAACTGAGTTTGTCTGGCCTCTAGCCAGTGACCATTTGGTATGAGTGTGTCTGACGGTACAAAAAAGCACTATCCAGCATAGTTCAATGGATCTCTGAGGCAAGCAAACTATCGCGCCACTATAAAGTCCAGCCTCACTGCGATAGGTCGCTTAGTGTTACATTACATTGTTCGCGGAACCGGATTTTCTCCCATACATGCTCATGCTATGTGCATAGTTATCAGTGTCTTGTCACATCAAATCGCCCTATCGTGTCTCGACTTCTCATCCTGCCGAATGTGCGCCCCTGACAATCCCTCAGGAAGCTGGTCATTTGATTTCTTGATGTTGTCTTACATTCGAGCTAATGGTGTTAACTAAATTTTAAACTCATGTAAAACTTTATGGCCACAGTACTCCGGTACTTTGTTTGCTTAAGGGGATGTGATGTTTTCCTAATCAATTTCCATTTTATATGTTTCCGGTGACTATCACAATTCTAAGTTAAGCGAGATGCCATTGATTGCACTGGTTTCTTGATCAATCTTTTACTTCACCCCACGTGCTATAATGCGTTCTGGCAGCTACCACGGGTGCGAGTCAGATGAACTCGGAGACTACTCGATTCGACACCGCTTTGTTTTGCAGTAGTACAGCACGTTGTTTTCCCGAACCTCAGTTGACGTCAGCTAACATTCGCTTCCTGTTGTCCACATCGATACGGCATTTCTTGATCCCATAGTTCCACCTATACCTGTTATCTTTTGACCGTCTACGCGTTTAAGCAAAATATATTGATTATCAGACTCTGTCATTCTGGTCGATTGGTCGATTTCTCTTGGCGGCGATTGTTCTGTACAATACAGCACATTCGTCGGCTTCGTCGGACACACTGTGTTACCTCTTACTGATTTGCGACCTTGGCATTGGGCATTTTTGATGTGGCGCATTCTAACTCTACCGGCAGGTTATTGAACTTGAGTATCCACTTGATATTTTGCGTTATTACCAAGCAAAACATGTACACCGACCGGACTGATCTTTAGTATGGAAAAGCACCGCACCAGCCTCATTTACTCATGTTGTCAGGCACTGCGGCTCGACAGAGCTCCTGTGATCAAGCCTACTGTGGTGGCAGATGCGTTCATGCACCCACCGACATTCGATTGCGTTGTCGATCATGAGTAACATATGCGCATTGCGTTTGACATGGTGTGTAGCTCTGCTCCACAGATTTGACTCCTCCGGCACATTCTTTTAATATTCTAGTCGGCCAACCAGCCACGCTTTCTCACCGTACCTAAGGGGTCATTTAGGTTAAACCTCACAGACTAAATATTGCTGCGTGCACAGTTTAAGCACTTCAGTTTCTCGTTCTACTTTAGTACCTCCAAAGTAACAATGTTCCATTGCTGTCAGTGGACGATTTCTGCTTCAAAAGTTACCTTCGACTCGGTGACTACTACGAGTGCAATCGGACGGGACAGTCCCCACAAGTGAGTGATCTACGGTGCATGCTTGCAATTCTTTTCCAGAGCGTATACATTTCCACTGTAACGTTACCAATGCATATTTTGACACAACGCTGAGTGGCATCGATGTTCTCCTGAGTACGATTGACTGTCAGGTCGGGTTGGTGGCTTACGGACACGATTGACTTGAATCCTTAGCGTAAGGGTGAGCTGAGATTCAACTAAACCTAATTCAGTTTTCTTTGGCCTATTGAATCTAATCCGTTTTATATATGTACCAGCCTAATAAAAATTATCCAAAAGCGATATCATAGCTGACTTGGATTACATTTCCGTAGGTATAGTTCACGATTTGGACTCTTTTTGTGGTGGGTATTGGTACAGGCCTCAAAGTGAACAAACACTTCTCAATGATCATTGAATCGTTCCGACTGCAGCGCTGTACGAACCGGCAGCCTGTACATTGTTGCTGATTGGACTACGAGGGGCGACCCAGCTCCTTTACTACTCACACATATTGGTTCGCTGCTACACCTATCCATCTGCACCGCCACCGGTATCGAATCGGTCCACTGGGAGCAGAGGTAGCAGCGTAACAAGTCCTGGATCAGGGCACCGGTTACTTGAGATGGACCATCACGCTTCACTTGCAATTCATTTTGTAACGAGCATCAGAATCCGGTTACGCTTGGACTGTATACTGTTGCTGAATGTCGTCCACGCGTGTATATCGATGAAGTACCGACGCAGCTCAGGGTCAGTTTTATTGTCCCTCTCTTCCACCATACGCTGGTGCCTTGATATGCAAAGCGGATACCCTTATGATAAAGCAAACGAACACTTTTTCTGCTGAGGTTTCGCTGCTTATCGATTATGCAAAACGTACTTTTTCACATCATAATCAATGTGGCCGTGCTCGTTCCGATCGCCGCGCTCCAATAAATTTGTCAGGCTGCTGCGTCGTTTTAGTGATCCAGGTACTCGCGATCAGCCGCTTCAGTAGTTAGCGACCCAATTGGACAGCATTGCTGCGAAACTCTTGATGTTATTCACTCCATACTTTTGTACGATTCGTAGCTATTGCGTTTGATGGTCCTACTGTTTTGGACCCCTATTCGTTTCATTTTGCCCATCTATTTGCGCTTCACCCTTCCTTTTGTTTCGCTACATCATTACGCCATTTCGACTTGAGTGATGTGGCCTGTATTTGTCGTCCCTCTTCTCTCGGACCATGATTGACCAGCTGAAATGAAGTGAACTTTGGGTGCTAGTTTTTCACACTCGCAGCAGCACTCAGGAGACCCGTGGCTACGAATCCGCCAAACTCTACTAGTGGTAATTGTGACAGCAAGTCGGAATTGTGTCAGGTTCGAGCTGTTGCCCAAATGCATAGTCTCCTATTTACGCTCCACAGTTGTTAAACCTGTTCATTGCAGCACAAACCTACTGCATGCAATGCAACTCAGTTTTGTTTTGCACATGAACTTCTTTGGTGACCTTAACAGAGTGGAATCTACTTTGGTACCCCGATGTACTACGCCAGTTTTGACTCTGTCCTCTCATTCTAGCGGCTGTCAAACATCTTACCGATTTTGTATGCTCACTGCATTTTGGACTAGCTGTTTTCACATCTAATTTCCTTCCTCAGCAAGCTTACGTAAAAATGTCCGAAGCAGCTCTGAATTCCCTAACGTCCGCTGGGTTGAGAGAGTCTGACGATGCCAATCCTGGCCCCGGTAGCACAACTTGGTTTCCGGGACAATCCTTCGACTCCGTCAACGGTAAGTACAGGTTTCCCGGTTTATAGTGCGCATTTCTAATGAATTTGAATTCCATGCCTTTGGAGGAAGTCGAGTAAGTAATGTGTGTGTGTGTGTGTGTTGCAAGGTGCTGTTGCGGGCCGGTCAAATGTCCCCGCGATACGCGCCAGGAACTCCGGCATAATGGCTGTGGAAAGCGGGGTCAAATTCCTCTTCACAACGTAGCAGCGTTGAGCCACTCCGAGACGCTTTCCAACTGCGCACCTGTTGACAATGCTCTTTTACAAACTACCACCCCGTCGTGGTAGCTATTTTCCCTCACTTTATGACCCGTAGCATTGGCTGTGATTTGCCCTTTGTTGGTCGTAAAAGCGCCTTCAGAAGACCACCTGTCTTGCTTCCTCTTCGCCTTAGTTGGGAGTCGTTCGGTCACGTGATTTTGTGTGCGTCGTTAGCCGGACAGCGTTCGCGTTTAAGTCACTAGCTCGCGTCTACCGTAACCCGTTCTCGTGTGCGTCCGTTCCGAGGGCTCAGCGTCTACCCGAATACGTGCGGCTAGGACCGTTCTCATGCTCGTTCAATTTCCGTCTCACCATTGCGTACCCCGGGCTAAGCTAACGCCGTCAGGTCAGCGCAAATCCGTTCGATTGGCCAGCGTTCCAAGCCGTTACCGTAGGCGTGCTCCAACCGTGCCAGTGACAATCTTATCAGGCATCTACGCAATCATAACAGGTATGCTCTCAATCGTAACAGTGCGAGCAATGGACGCTACTAAGGAATGCTGCATGCCGGGCTCGGCGGGAAGCGCTAACTTAGATGGTGCTGCGCATACGTCTAGAATAGGCACGAGACATCCATCACAAGCGGTGAATTTACATTTTACATTTATCCCTCATTCAGCACTTAGTTCACTGTCTCGTCATCGTGACTGTAGCCTACATTCGCCGCAGTTGGATACTGTACAGGCCACGGCTAATTCTTGCGCTGCCTTGCTTTGTCAATCACTCAGTTGCCTGTTGGGGCCGAGTTCGTATACACACCAGCTCTGAGTAAACCGTAGTCTCATCTTCGTGTTCTCCGATCAAAGTGCACTGGACTACTTCCTCTACACGGGGAGTGAATAAACGTGGTTTGGAGTGGTGCTGAACTTGCTGATTGTGGCCTTCCTTCTGGCGGGTTGACTCTTTTCGACCTGGGCCAAGACAAATGCACCCACCTTATCCCTGTTCGTATGACTTCAGAGTAAATAGTACCATTTACAGTTTCGTACGCAACAGCCCCGCTGAAACCACCTTTGGACGACGTCGTCTGACATTTTTTCGTTAAAGATCCACACTACTCGTTTGAAGACAATTACACTCTATTTTGTCCTCCAGGTGCGATATCAACTGCGTCCGCTTTCCCCACGGTTCTACCGCCGGCAGCCCATGCGCAACCCAGTGAATCGCATTCATCCAACCTGTCCCATTTTCTCTCCGATTCATACGATATATCTGGCACAGAATTGCCACGTGCGAACTGTTTTTCGTCCAATCTGAACGATGAACCCCCTTCCATTCCACCGGCAGCCCATGCAGCCAGCGAATCCGGTTTCAAAGTCCCGGTCTCGATGCCCCTGCTCGATCCCTATTTTTCTGATCTTCGGCTGAACACCCCCATTCCTTCAGTGCCCTTATCGTCTGATCCCCGCGTGCCCTGTCCCATTGTGGATAGTCCTTGGTCCCAATTGAGTCGCTCACTGGGTCCGTTGCCAAACCCGCCCTACACACTCGGGATATCTGCCACTGGTTGTCTGGATCCTGTGACGGTAAGTTTCCAACCCAAAAATCGTTGCTAACGAATCTATAGGAGCATAGCACTAGACAACGTACCTAAAAGGGTTCCGCTAGTGTAACTTATTAATCATTTATACCTCTTTGCTTAATCCCAACCGCTCATTAGCAGTGGGATATATGCAGGCTGCTATGAAACTACGCTTTTGCCATAAAAATATCCCTCTACCGGATGGGTGAGGATTCGGTCGATATATCTAACGAGTACATTTGTAAAATGACAAGTCACTCCTTACTTAATAGTAGTGGAGTTATTAAGTTTCTGGGAAGAATCGTCTCAGCTAGACAGCCACCACAAATCCTGGATGTATGTTGGCTCTCTAGCTAAGCCTAGCTGCAACGCATCTTTCTAAAAATCATTCCTTAGTGTTTGGATATGGTTTGAAGTTGGATAGGCATCGATACATCAGTTTTCGCTGGAAAATTCGTGCGCCTGTTGCATTTTCACTGGTGCTGCTTGAAGCTAGTTTAATCAGGTCGTCTGAATTCCTGCTCCTCCATTCATCGTACGACGGTGTCTAACAGTTTTGGTTTACCATATGGGAAATACTAAATGTCCTTGTCCTCCACATCAGGCTCGTTCCCCATCCCAAGAACTTGCTACCAAACACTTTATATGTTTTCTAGACTGGATGTCTCAAATTTTTTCCGCGCCCCCACGTCCCAGGGGTTTTCCTGATGTGGAGAATAAACTCATTAGCCGGACTGGGATTATTTGGTGTCATATGTGACTTTATGCATTCTCCAGCTGCCGATTTCAGGTCACTCGGTCAACCTTTTTAGGCGCAGTAGTCCTAACACACGTCTTTGTTATATCAACTCCTGGACAAATGTACTAGGGACTGTCGTCACCAAATTGAGCCTTCTCCCCTCTCTGTAACGATGTTATCACGTGGCCCCCACCTGGTGCGTAAATTGCTATGGAATTCTACAGTCCGTAGACCAACCAGGTGCGCGTAGCTGTTGTGGTTACCCATCCACATAGCGTCAATTATGTGGATCCAAACGATTCTTTCACTTTTCCTTGGTGATGAATCAAAAATTCCCACATTTATTCTTGTCGCTAATCAAGTGTCCGGAATGTCCGTTGTTTTAGGAACGCGACTGTATGAAGAATTTTTTCATTAACATAGCCAAGGAACGGATTCGATCAGAGGAACGAAGGCGGGTTCGGCATCAACACGCAGTGCTCGAAGAACGTGAACGCACCCTCGCCCGGGTAAGCAGAGCCATTGCTCACAGGCCACTTGGGCACTTTTCTATGGTTCTATCGATGACATTCCTTCAATTTACGGGTCACGTACTTTGAGGCGACACCATAGATAACGTACGTTGAGTATCTGTGAGATGTTTCCCGTTGTCACACTTTCTCTATACCTCTCCACAAGGTGGTCACCGAGTGTGTTGCACATACAATGAAAGGTTTTTTCGCCAAACAAATCAACTACTGATCGGTTATCAACTTGCGTTTGTTACTCGGCTCCGACTGATACGGCGCATAGCTTTCGTCTTTACTAGCGTAATCTTGAGAGTTGGCCCCCGTTGCACTGGTGTTGAGCGCGATCGTAACTAGCGTTCGATGTTCCGCACGATCATAGCTTTTTTATGGTACCGATATCATCATTGCCTTCGCTCCTCTAATGAGCAATTTTCTCTCTCACTTCATTCACTAGATTCGTCCATTAAGTTTTGTTTTTAGCACCTTCACATCCACTGTCTTGCGTCATTTCATACTTTGCGTTGCGGTCCAGTCCCCGAAGACTATCTCTTTTGCTGGACAGTTCTTGTTTGAGTTTGTACATCTTGACGCTTAGTTTGAACAGACCTGGTGGATCTGATCGGCGTGTTGGAACTTCAGAACCTCGTGGAGGTTTCAAAACAGCCCACTCTGGTACACCCTTTAAGGCGTAATCACATATTTGAATATCCTAACCCAACAACGCATTCATGGCGTGCAGTCACCGACAGTGAGGTGGCTGCAAATACTTCATAGCTATACTGGTACCTCATTGAGCTACTGCGCCTGTCCAGTCTTACCACGGCACGGTGTTCACAATGTGGTCATTCACTGATGTCTCTCATTAGCCTCTGCTGGTGCATTACCCCATTCATCCGGCCACTTGGTATCGCATTACAAAATGATATGCAATCAACTAAATAGACAAATGTTTATTCTCGAATTTCATGGGGCACACTTACATAGGCGTGGTTAAGCAAAAATCTTCCGTCCCACCTTTCAACGTATGTTGACTATCAACATGAAGGGAATCACTTGCGATTAGGCGACCAGGAAGAAACCGCAATGTACCGTACATTGGGTTCGGAAGGGTCTCATCCCAGTATGTCTTCACGTTTATTTCTGCTTGGCTTCGGTATGCCTCATCTGGATCTCCTCTCAGTAATCCATTCAGTGCTATCTGAGAAGCAATCGGTATGAATTAGTCATCACAAGTAAACCTTTGCTACACCAAACGGTTAAACGCCTCACTGAAATAGGTAGCCTATTACGATACTTGCAAGTGAAGCTGACTAGACTGTGAAAAAACACCACCTGTCGAGTGACACCCTCTATCGCGTGACACACCCTATGTTTTGGATCTTGTGCTTACCAACAAGGAACTAGTGGCCGACATCGTGACTATAGATGCACCACTTGGCCGTAGCGATCACACGATGTTGCTCTTTCGTTTCATCTGTTACTCGAAGTACATCAGTGAGAACAACGTGGAAACCTGTCGTTACACATTACGATATCCTGACTAACCTCCTTCAAGAAACCGACTGGTCCTTCCTGGCCGAATAACCGCCCGATCTCACTTGGATGGTGTTTGTCACCCAATTCACCGAAGTAATGTCAAATGCGTCAGAAAGCAATCTCTTTCGCCCAAAGCAAGTGAACCCGTTCCTGAGGAGCCGTACTAGAAAATGCATGGCCTTAAGGGATTCAGCCTGGCGCATTTACAAAGTCTGTCCAAGTAACCTGACCTGGGGTGCTTACACAACTCAACGTAACCACTGCGTCAAGTTGTTCCGCGAAGACAAACTCCAGCACCAACAGAACTTAGTGGCGAAATTCAGTGCAAATCCCAAGTTTCTGTATGGACACGTCAACAAGCTCCGTAGAGTGCAGCGCGGGATCCCAGTTTTACGTGCAACAGATGTTCTGGCGCAAACTACACAAGATGCGACTAACGTGCTTCGCCAACGCTTCACCTGCACCTTCCAGAGTGAATCATCATTTCATCCGCTTTTGACACGGCTCGCATCGCCACCGGGGTTAAACCACATATCGTTCACGGCAGCCAATGTGATGAAAAGGCTAATGTCATTGCGCGTGCACAGCTCACCTGGCGTGGACGACATCAAATCGAAGGCATTGAAGACAGCGGCCATGAACCTTGCCGAACCATTCGCTCGGTTCTTTCAATGTTGTCTCGACGAAACGTAGGTTCCCACAATGTGGAAACATGGATTAGTTACTCTTATTTACAAAGGGCGGAATTGTGTGGAGCCTTCGAACTACCGTCCGATCACTCTGCTCACAGTTTTATGTAAACTAATGTAAGGCATAATCACAGAGGCGCCTATGGGATACATTGAGAGCAACAACATCTTAGTGTCACAGCAGCACGGATTCTGCCGAAACCGGTCTTGCACTACAAACGCTTCTAGTTTGAGCAAGCTGGACAGAGTCAGCCGATACCAGCATGGGAGTCGACGTCGTCTACCTAGACTTCGATCGTTTGAACCACCGCATTCTCCTGCGCAAACTTCGAAGCTATGGAATCGGTGACCCTGTGCTCGGTTGGATCGGCAACTTCCTCACTCATTGTCAGCTAAATGTGAGAGTCCACAGCTCAATTTCCGATCCAGTTGACGTCGAGTGTGGCGTGCCCCAAGGATCGGTACTGGGGCTACGTTTATACCTAGCATTCATTAACCATCTTGCTAGTGTACTGAAGTCGCAGATGATGTCAATATTTGGCATGACAGCATGACAGCGGATGATCACATGGCATTACAGAGCGATCTCGACAGGGCTTATACGTGGTCATCCAATAACCGGCTCCAGTTCATCGTTGTGAAGTGCAAAGTCGTGAGCATGCGCTATCAGCTTGGCCATGAATATCGGCTTGGGGACCAGCAGTTGCAACGTGCTACCCAGGAAAGCGACCTCGGTGTGAACGTGCAGAACGATCTTGGCTGTTCAAGACAGGCTGGAAAGCCATCGAAAATAGCCAGTCAACATCTTGGACATCTTGGAGGGCTTTCGGAAATTTCGAACCATCAATCTTTCAGCAAATGCTAAACGCTTACGTGAGGCCCCACTTGGAATATGCTATCCAGGCCTGGCGCAAGCGCGACATCAATGCATTTGATGCAACCAAACTTGTTAGATGATTGTTTCATCTCTCCTACCAACGCAACCTGCAATCTCTGATATTCTACATTGGTGAACATCGACGTCAACGAGGAGACCTAATCATGGTTTACTTAATACTGACAAACTCAATTCACCCATGTCACAATCTATTGTAGCTGAACCAAAATACCAACTTGAGACGCCATCAGCTCAAACTGGCTACGCACTACAGTCGACTTGATTGTCGACGCAACCTTTTCTCCCTCCGTGTGTTCCGTGTCTGGAATGCCCTTCCGACTCACGTTATCCTTGCTCCTACATTAACACTTTTCAAGAAAAGCCTTGATGACATGCTTTCCAACTTGTATTATTTGATGTAGCTTGTTTCACTCGGAGGACGAAATAACGCAAGCCTAATCATGTGCTTAACGGGCCTCTCCGCAACGTGGCTGTGAAAATACATACAGAAATGTCTTTGTGAGTAGCTTGGATGTAGCTAAATTGGGTTAACATACCGCATCTGTCAAATGAAGCAACGCACGGATGGGCGTTGTCGTTTCCTTTTTTTAATTTCCCATCGAGTTACTGAACTGCCCTCTACTATTTTGTGTGTGCACATCCCATTCCCATTTCAAACTATCGTTATGCAACAGTGCATTTAAATCGGCAGACGCTTAAAAGGACCATTTACTTAATCGATAACCCTTCAAATCTTAATTTTTACTCCAACCATCCTACGGGACTTGTCAAGCACATGCTTTTTTTACCCGTGATATGCCATTTTTCATTGACCATTATCCACAATTTAAATGCATGTACTTAGTATTGTCAACGCCGACGGGGACACTGCAACCGATTTTCCGGTTCAGGCACGACATAAAAATTCGAGGCCATTCGTCTCATCTCACCACTTTCCTGCTGCACCTTTTTTATCGCTCTTTGCCACGGTGGCTATTTCGATGATGTGTGGAGGCCGACATGTTGAAGTACCATTCACGCGCCGAATTTCTACTGTGTGCTCTGTACTCTCGCATGTCTGTCGCAACCATGGTAGAATGCACTATTGACTGCAGTTTGGAAACTTGCTTATGCGGACAAAATGTGCAGTGTAATCCAGTTGGCCGTTTGGGCCACCAGATTCGAGCTGATTCATCCCACGTGTGATCTGCTTTTTCCACCATTTCATTGTTAATGTTGGAAAAATAGATTCAGCGTACCACGACTGATTCCACTTAGACAATTTCGTATTGTGTACACTTTGTTTCTTGTGCATTACTTGGACTGCTTACACGCTGCTCCATTGATTAAGGCAACAATAGCGGACTAGCGCTCTTCTAGAAAGCTGATTTGAATAGTTGACATGGTGTACTATAAGGATACCGAGGTGCCAGTGTTTACCAAATAAGTGGAATATGCTTCTTGTACTATAGTCCATCCTGACCCCATTAAACACCTCTTTACTTTTGGCGCCACCACCGAACCTACCACTTTGCTTAGTTAATGACTACTGCATTATGGATACCTTACAACTTTCTTAGTGGATGGATCGCCGTGGCAACAAAAATTGACCAACTTTCTGCTTGTTGTGCTGTTTTCTTGTATTCGTGTCGTCACATGGGTCTACCATTGTCCACTTTGGGTAAACCATCGCGAAGATTGGCTCTTATCTCATTTTTGATGTTCCAATAAACATCGGGGCATGGTGGCTCCTTACAAACGCTTCATTTGCTGTCAATCGCATGTTATTGGAACCCTTTATTCGTTATCAACATATCGAATTGAGCTTAGTTTCCCATCTGATGCTGGCTTTCGCCTGAATCTGAGCTCGGACATGTGGTGTCGTTATCTCTGAATTCCGACACCTTTAATGTTGCTGCACAGTATTCGGACTTGATCCACTGCTTAACGCACCGGGTAGTCTGATGGATACAATGCTCTCTCTCCTGCATCCTTCTCTGCTACTTGAGTGATACTGTCATCTATCTCCACGGATTTAGTTCCATATGAGTCACTTCTACTGGCTAACTCATTGGTTTCGCTTTTGAAGTGTGGTTGGTTTGCACCATGTACAGTGACCGAGAAGACGTTCTCGTCACTCACTACTGCATTGGTTATCGGCCAGCTTCTTCATTTCGCCCATGAACCTTGGATTTTGACCGCGACCGACGACAGTATGAGGCCAAACATTCAACGACTTTCAAGCACTTCTGTTTTACTCAACCATATATGCGGAATTGTTATATGTGCCTATGAATTGTTCCTTATCTCGCGGCACAACGGAACAATGTTGTATAATAAGCGAAAAAGCAAGTGCTTAACAAATCCTGTGAGATGACCCCCCATGAGCACCACAAAATAACGCAACAAAAACAGGGGGATAAAATGAAAAACGTTTTTGTTACTCACCATAATATTCACATTGAGGCAAGCGTAAAAGAGCCTATCTCGTTTGTGTACGGAAATGTTGCTTACTGCACCGTTTGTCACGTCAAATCGTCTGTCAACCTACCCAGGCTATGTCTCGTAATACAGGTGGGTTAGGGCAATGTCAAGTCGTTTTTAAAACAGCAGATAATGTGGGGACGGAACAAGGAGGGTGTTCCATGGCTGGCAGACATGAAGGAGGTAAAAGTTTCGATGGCATTACAGCCGGCGGCTGTATTGCTTGGCCGACTAGAACTGGTGGTCTCTCAGATTCGTGCTGTGACTAAGTTGCAATAGGTGGCGGCAGACGTGGTTGCGGTTCCTCAGGATTCGGCAAGCCATTATTAAGTCACTACGCAAGTGCCAATACTGATTACTGTTGTACAATCTTAGGGTTCCACGCCTAAGTTGATCTGGAAGCTGGATTAATCCTTTGATGTGCTTGGTAGGTTTTCGCTATGGAGTCTCGACCGCCGCAAGACTTGGCTTGTGCCAGGGTTGTCAAGCCTGGATACCTTGTTCCACATGGAGTAACACGTAGGTGTTAAACATCTGCGAGCAGGACACAAATGTGTTGGTTCCCAGTCTTTTGTCGCCTTCTCAGATTGTGCTGAACACCCCAGGTCAACCTGAATTGATACCTTAAGGTCGCGCTCCTGGGTAACTGCTTACAATACGTAGTCTCCGAGCTTGTAGATGATGTTCGGCTGATGAAAAATGTGAACCACCTTACATTTTGACAAATTAGATTGGGGCAGGTTGCGTAATGACAATTCGTACGCAGTCCAGCTTTCGTTGATTTGCATTGTGGTCTAATGGGTCGGTGATCGCCCGCCACACCCTAACATCATAAGTGAAAAGTAGGTACTCAGAGGCGATCAGACGGGTAAGCTGGTTAATGAACAGAAACAGACGTGGCCGCAGCACTGACCCTTATGGAACTACACATTCGACCTGAATCGGATCGGATGTCGTACTTCGTACTCTATCCCACAGCTGTTGCTGTAGCAGGAAATTCGTGATTCACCTGAAGACAGGTTTCCAGACTCCGTAGTTTTGCATCCTCTGAAGCAGAATACGGTGGTTCAGGCGGTCGAAGACTTTGGAGAAGTCGAGATAAATGATGTCTGTCCCTGTTCCTTTGTCAACCGCTTCCGTCCAATTATTGCGTGCTATCAGTGGGTTGATTGTGCACGATCAGTATTGACGGAAACCATACTGCTCCAGTGCCCGAATTCTAGATAGTCAACTAAGGCCTTAGCGATGATGGCCTTCATCACCTTTGAGAGTACAGTGAGGAGGATCACTCAGTGATAATTTTCGGGTGCCGAACGACTATCACTTTAAAATATTGACGTGATTGTTCCGTGTTTCCACATGGTAGGTACCATTTGTTTATCCAAGTACGTTTGGAAGAAATGCGCTAATGGCTTGGGTACCATTGTTGCTGTTACGTTCTACACCTGTGGCTGATTGCCATCGCTTCCAGGCGAACTGTTGGTGGGCGGTTTCCTCAACGCAGTTGTGGTGGTAAACATGATGTGACTAAGTAACTGCAATTGGCGCGATGCGTGTTGAGATGTAACAGTAGCTGCTTCTTCAGCACTCTGTGCCACTCCGAATGTCATGTCAAGTGGAGGATACCGTGCTTCACTTTGCGAATACCGTTGACATGTTTGTATAGTAGCGTTATGCTTTTGAAAAATTTACGAGTCAGGTATTTTTGGTAAGCCAATTTGTCCTCGCGGACAGCGGTAATACAGTAGTTGCGCTGGGTCACGTATCCGCTCGAGGTTTCTGGACCAGGACAAGCTCTGTAAGCGTACCAAGCTGCATTCCTTAGTGACATGCGTTTTCGAGTTCTGCTTTTGATGAACGATGGTGGATTGGTGGAAGGAACCTGCATAGTTTCTGAAACAGTCATAACCAGATTGTTGAAATTTTTAATAAACTGAATCGAGGCGCTGTTAGGGGAGCCGTCTTTCAAGAAGTCCCAATCAGTCATCGCAATTAGCTCTGTTGGGATTTTGTAGCGTGATATGGTGCGCGTTGGCTCAGAGGAATTGCGATTATTAACAGTTGCGCTCATCTCGTTTCTATGTGCGTTACACTCTAATTTCCTGATGCCATGGGTGCCTTGGGGTTCAACACTCACTTACACTTATGGTCTGCGAGAGTCCAACAACCCATTGCGTATTCCAACTGGTTTTGTTCCATCGTCACACAAACACCCCAAAAATTATTTTCTCACCACTGCATGTAAAATCCTTCCCCACACTATTTTCCTACAGCGCGTGGAAGAGCGCATTGAATATGAATTGAAGAAAACCGTGGATGACTTGCGTTTGATGAACTCCGAAGTAAGCTCTCCAATTTTTTCTTTGGCTCACTGTGTTTCCCTGGTGGCACATTTTCCGCTTTGCTTTCACCTTTACTTTCTACTGTTTCCGAGGCAGGAATACGGCTAAGTGGAAAATAATCAGTTCTTTTGAGGCGAAGAAAACACATTCATTATCGTCTTGCAGTGGGCTAATCAGAGCACCTTAGTTAAACCGATGCAATCCCGGCCGGCTCGCCGCAATCTATTAACCCTTTTCCCCTTTTGCGTTACCCCATACTACCTCTCGTAACCGGCTCCCAGTTATTTCCATTACATATCTGAGCCTAGGTTGCCCAAAATATCAACAGTCGCTCTATGTCGATGGTGACGCTGACAGTCGTCATCTTCTCCACGCCTTTGCTGATGCAACGAGCGACAATGTAGGCGGCAAATAAAGGCGATATGCAACATGGTTTACTGTACAGTAATTAAGGGACGCATATTTGGACAGTAGTAATTACGATGTGTTCTCCAGAGTCTTGTCCGGGACAAAATAAGCGCGCGATGAAAGTGATGACCTACCTGCCGGAAACCCTTTATGCGTCGATAATGCATGTCTGCGTGATAACGAAGATTACCGTAACTGAGCAGCTCAGAGGGTCATTTAACGTTCAAAAGGATTGGCGAGACACATTGATGATGAGCATTCCCTCGTTTTGTTGAGAACAAAATTTATTTATTTATTTATTTGATAATGTCAGCATCCGCAAGGTATGCGAGGCACAGAGAAAGAAACACGTAGTCGATGGAATAAGTTGTAAGCTTAAGTGGTGCAATTCCAAGCGCCCAAAAACAATACGGGACCTCAGGAAAACGATCGTTTAGAAAAGCGAATGAATTTGTTAAAAACTAAACATAGATGATAGTGGGAATAATTTTGCCATAAATATGTCGTTGAAAATTCACCTGTTTCACCGTGGCGCTCTGCTTAGACAACTGTAACTTGAAAATGAATGTGTTTTTCCCATCTCGAAAGGATTGGTTATTTCCATGTTAGTTTCTCCTTGCCTCAGAATAATTAGGAAGCAAACATGGAAATAAACAGGAAGTGCGCTACCATAGCAGAGGCAAGTCAGGGAACGTGTTGACCAAAGTGGAAGCTTGTCCTGTTTTTTTCTCTCCATATTTGGCACTATTTTCTCCACGATTTTGCTATCACGAATTGTTTTATTTATGAGATATTCTACAAAACGCTCACAAAGGTGTACTCGTCCTTTTTGGTGATTCCAGAGCGCATTCTTTGTTGTAGGCGCTACCCGACTTGGAACCAATACCAGGTCTTCGCCTCTCCAGTCAAGCATTTGCCGATTGTTTGGAGGTGCTGGAATTTCTGCACGCGTTCACCGAAATCCTCTGTGTTGGTGAGTGAGAATTGTCTTGTTGTATTCCACATTGTATTCCTTTCGGCTCTACTTCATCCAGGTGCGACGATTTCATCAAAAACTCTAAGCAGCAGCTGCTATTTGAAGGCTGTCGCAACAATATCAAACATTGTCTTGTTGCAATGTTTTGAGTATCTCTCTCAGTCGCTGAACACTTAGGTGCTTTGTGTGCCACAGTCCAACCTACTATGGCGACTACCTGTCTATGGCGACCAGCCAAAGTCATCCCCATCATTTAAAATAACTTGATGTACTGGTAGCCCGGGTTGATCGTTCCTGGGTTCAGCTGTTCGCCGAGCTTCGCAATTGGTGTGCAGACGTTTCATCACCACGTCCGCATACTAATTGTGAAGCTCGGCGAACAGTTGAACCCAGGAACATCCCCATCATTTCTTTTTATGAATAATGCCCCTATGCATGAAGCTATCCATGGCGACCACCTGTCCAAGGCGACCACTTTTTGTTAGTCTCCTGAGTTGTCGCCGTAGACAGGTTTGACTATACTTATAACGGATTGGTCAATGAGTAAACGTTTGATGAACTCAAGCTGCTAGTCCTTCACATTGGCAGTTGAAACTGACGTGATGCTCATTCCCGGTAAATTAGCCCCTCTTGCACACTGTTGTCGTGTTCCCGTGCACTATCCTAGACCATATATTGCGTTTCGACCTCATCCTATATCGACGTAGCGCAGTTTCAAATGGTCACCTTATACGCCAAGTTCAGTAAAGCGGCTCACCAAAAGACTGCTGCACACATACGTAGCGCCCATGCAAAAGCGCGGTTACTATTGTAAGTATTGATCGGTGCCGTAACAGACAGTCTTTCGAATCATAATAAATATATGTATTATTATTATTATTATTATTATTATTCTTATACTTCCCCTTTCGTTTTTCCATCTATTTCTTTCACATCCGTCCCGACCCCTATTGCTCACTTTCACTACGTAGCCCTCATTGCAGGTGACGACAGATATGCACCACTGAGCCAAATAGCCGCCCGCCATCAACGACACCTTAGCAGCCTACGCCACCCTGCTGCTTGGCGACCTTCGATGTTCGTACTTTACAGAGGTCAACAGTCTGCACGTACACACACATATAGACACACGCACGCTAGACAACGTGTGAGCGGATGTTTTCCGCGTCCCCCATACTCCGCTACTCTACCTAGTTATCCGACTGACCCCTCCCAGCTTGCCCTCTCGCTGTCAGCTGCATAGGTGCTGATGCAGTAACCACGGGACAACTTCACGTGAACATCGTTCTCAGCACTACAACTGAATACTCATCGGTCCATCTTGTTTCATTGATCAACTGTTTGTGGTCAAACTGTACTGTCAGCTGAGCTTAGCACTTGTAGCTTCTTTAGCAACTGTTCGCTGGGGCTTGCTACCGTTGCTTCATCCGACTACAGCCCTGCTTTTTGCATGCCGCTGCGCAATGTTGCCAGCTGAGGTATAGGTCTGGTTACTAGGGCTACGAATGTATAAGTTCCTCAGTGCCCCATGCTGAGGTTGATGTTGCATTCATGATGCTTCTGTACCGCAGTTCGGTTAAACCAACTTGAAGTTAATCTAGGTCGTTTTAATCTGGATAAAGGCCATTCTACTTTATTTGGTTTGTTCAATTCTGTTACTCTGCCGCATATTCTGTCACTATTGGGTGTTTGCTTTCCCTATAGATTGTTTGATATCTTCCGTGTGACTGTTCTTGATGTGAATGTTGACAAGGTCTAACACTCACCACCTAGATTATTGGGTCCAGGAGACTGAATCGTTGCTGGGGGGGGGGGTGCACGGTCTTCGTGGCCATGCTAGGATCAAAGAGTGATTCCATGCACTTAGTGTGGAGCAGAATGCGGTCCAGCTACCACATTGTGTGCGCTTGATTCCCCAAATATAGCCTGCTTGTGTTTGCCTGTGAAGGAGTCTGGGCCGGCTCCGTTGATGGAAGCAGCGATAGTGGTGAACGTTTGCTACACATGTGCACCGAATATCGGCCTTCTCAAAATGAATTGGATGCCGATCTGCAACTTGGCATCCTCTTTTTGGTGGCCATCGATGGACCTACATGGAATACTTTGCTATAGTTTTCATGTAACTGAGTTCTATTTTTAACTGTCGCTTAGTTTTGAACACGTGCGTTGGTTTTTTCTCACACTGAAGCGTTGCCGATTGTCCCTGAGCTTTGTCGAATACCAGAGCAAACGGATTCCTTGGATGTCAGTCGAAAAGCTGTCTCATTCTACTGGTGAACAAGGGTACCACAATACACTGCGTACTAAACTTTCGCCTAATTCCTCTAAGGGTATCGAGTCTCGACAGAACGGGGGTTTCGCTCCGCTCATGGTACAAGGATGTCTAGTTGCAGCATAACTAGTTGTTAGGACACTGGGCACTGGACACCAGAAGGGCCGAACGTGATCAAATCGATTACTGGACCGTAACTGATGAACCGGATGAATATTGGATGCAATGTTTTCGTGCGGGCAACACTCAGTATTTATCTACATCACTGATCCTAGTTTCGGACACGCAACACACTTCAATACCCATGGTCTCCAACGTGCCTGCTAGTGCAGCCTGTTGACCTATTTATTTTACAGTGCGAATGTTGAACGCTGCCAGAGAAACAGGGCAGCGTTGCACAGTTGGATTTGGAGTACCCGCCGAATGGTTATATTGCGACACGCACTCTCTAGTAAGACCTCGGTTCAAAACTGAATTTAGGGAGCACGCTGTGTGGTTGGGTTGCGACTCGCAACCTCTATTGAGACCTCAGCTCACTTTGAGGTAAACCTCGGTCATTCCGATCTCGAAGACCGTATCCTGAATGGATATATTTTGGGTGTTGCTGCAAGGGTTGGGAAGAGTAACACCCAAATATATCCATTCAAGACCTCGGTTCACTTCAAATTAGACCTAGGTCATTCCGATCACAGGGACTGTATCCGAAATGGAGGTGTTCCGGTGTTGCTCCTCCCAACACCCGACACCCCACCATCAACGGTTGCATCCTCGTTTGTACTCATCGGGTGGAGATAGCCTGGGCTGGGGTGGAACTCGGGAACAGCGTTGCGTTATAAGGGGCTATTGCCGATAAGCGTCCAGTGGATGGTGTCGGAAGATACCTGCACAGGATAGAACTGCGGTGGCATTGTGGCTGCCTTCATTTAAGCTGATAATTATAGGAAGAAGGTTAGTAACGAGGGTCGGGATGGGAGTAAGGGAAATAGGTAGGAAATAAAAAAGGCATCAGCAGTAACATGTTTTCGTTTATCCACCATGCGGTATACTGTAGACAAGGTGACCCTTTTAAAGCCGCGCGACAGCCGATGCAGGATGTGGTTGAAGTTTGAGAAAATGTCTATGGTTGGAAGGAAGAAGTATGTGGTTTTAACTAAGAAACGAGACTGGGCAGCCGGCCTACGGGTTAAGGTCGAATGATCATTCTCTCAGCATCCTCCTCACTGACTACTGGACCAGATATCCCTTTAGCGTATCCTACGTATGGGAGCATGTTGTACCAGCCTAGAAAGTCCCACTTTTGCTTAGCTGGAGTTTTCGATGTTCCGCCCCGGATGTGATGGACTCCCGGGTGCATTTCGTACTACTGTTAGTTTGCAGTCAGTCTTCGGTGATAGATGTTAACGACCCGTCTTTCCACAACGGTAGGACGCACCTGGCTTCTTGTCGGAGAGCAACTGACCATAACCATCTTTATTGGTTGTCTGCATGTTGGTGGTGATACGGCGATTGCCGGTTTCGGTTATGACACCCAAATGACGTCATTTTAGCTTACTCGTCGTATGTTTACAGGCTCAGCAACAATCCGGTTCGTTCTCGTAATAGTTTCCTGATCGCAATATCGGGGTTTGAGACGATTGTTATCGTTCAACACCAATCCACCTGCAATGTGAAAAGACGTGAGCTTCTTGTGGCCTAGGTGATCTTGTCAAAAAGCAAATTCCTACTAAACACACACGAGACAGACCTCAACCCCGACATCGGTCCTTGTGTCCAACTAAAGGCGTAATTGATTACCGTTTCTGGTCTAAATTGCCGTTCACCGCTGCACATCCGACATGAGTCACTCCACACTTTTTCCGGAGCAAATCAACTCACGGCAGCCGAAGTGGTCCAAACAGCTAGGTACCGGTTTTTCGAATCTACTTGGCATGTTCACTACTGAGCTCAGCATCTGGTCTACCCACCCGGCCGGTCGTTGTGTCGTTTGTCAAGGTCACAACAGGCAGCGGATTAGGAGCAGGTGTTCATATAACTACCGCTCTGCCGTTGAGTGACTGACTGTGTCTGCTTTATGTGTACACAGACACACACATGTGCAGTAGTTGTATCCATTAATCTGACGATTCCCCACTGTTCTTTCTAGGTTTTACTGCAACTACAGCGCTGCATACCCGCTGATGTCTATTTGTGTCCAATTAACCCTTCCCCTAACTGGCTTGTATTCCCACCAGCCCCACTTACCCTTCCACACACCCGCCCGTTCCCTTTCACGCTACCCCAGCGGTGGTGTAGAGGCTTATCTACCCAGCGCGCAGCCTAAGGAGATAGCCAACGGTTTTCTATTTCTATAGTCAGCCAAAGTAACTGCGACTCCTTAGTGCGGTGCTTGCGACATGCATGGACAAAATTCGCCACCTCTCACTGGTAACCGTATAGATCGAGTTATCATAGGGTAGACAGTGAGTATCGATCTACATCAGTGCATAGCATTGTCACCTATTGTCCTACTGGTGGTGTATGGGAAACGCGCATTGATCGGTAGACAGAGCTTCTGGTTGCACACATACACCGCAGGCTAACAATTTGATTAAGCATTCCACTGATCGATCGAATTTAAGTAACTGGACTGGGTTGAACCAGACTGGAGCGTTGTGTGGGATTTACTTGGGTTTCTCCCATGAGATTATATGGTACTTGGGAGGACGTTCCTGTTCGTCTAATCGCACGCTACCCAACTGATTTGCGCTTCGGTTACCACATCTACCATCGAATAAACTGACACCACAAGCGTTTGCTTTGCGAGATATTGATAGATATTCGATAGAGTTGTACAGAAACCTTTCTACTTACTATTAAATACAGTCTCAGTCTCAGTCATACGTGGTTTCGTCAATGGAGATCCCAATAGCTTTGTATTACATGTTCATGTGCCCATCGGCGACGGATTAGGCGGTCGCTGTCCGCAGAATGTACGGTTTCCGATACCAGAGGTCAGTCACCAATATTTACTTTCGTTCAGCTTGGGCAACGCGTTGTGTACCGTGGCTTATCAAAACCTGCGGTCGACGTTTCAGAGGTTTACAGTGATGATTGTTGAGTTCATTTGTAGCTCGGGCCATCAGCGTTGCTGCTGGCTGTTTGAAAAGAAACCTCAGTCGTCCCGGGAAGAGTGGTGGTCCCATTTCGAGGAAACTAGGCCCTAAATGCTATGGTTGACGTATCTGTGTACTAATGAGCTACGCTTGGTGTTACTTTCCACGCGTCTTCGAAATCACTGGTATCATACAGGACCCTAGTTACGCGACAGACAAACCACCTTAATTTCCATTTCAGGGCAGGGTGGTGGGGAGAGATCAGTATCCCGCTCATTCCAAACCGGCCATACAGAGGAGCAGAGTTTGCGGACTGTAAACCCACTCCGTTTGACACATAGGACGGTCCACAAGGTGTCTCTGACGATGGGAGACCAAAGTAGTTAATCACTGCATCACCACGCACAACCCGCTTTGGGCCATTTGGACTGAATATTAATTGCAACTTCTTTGGAATTCTCATATGGTTGTCACGATCACATGTGTGAACCCTCGGACAAAATTCAAAGACGCAAGTTGCTTATCCAACTCGTAGTTGCACTGCATGTACACAACCCAATGCTGAGTCACATAGTGCACTGGTTCTACCATTCACTTGCAACCGCATTGGGACTCTGAAATCACACTGTGAAGCTCGACTTACTCACTACTGTTCTATCAGTGAAATACTATTGTTCGACTCTTCCAGTGAAGTCCTACGATCAAATCACCACCGTCCTATAGTTGAGACTAACGAGTCAGTAACTCAATACGGATATCATCAAATAACCTTCTCTCTCGGCATTAGTGACGAGTATACATAATTTACTCACGAATCCCGCCCCACACATTTTCTTCCTTTTTCATCTTTTTAGCTCTTATCTCCTCAGGTCGCTCAGTAATAGCCCATTTCCGGCCTATCGGGCACGTAACCAACGAACCTTGATTGTTTTTCAAACCGTGGGATTGACTTCACACTACTTTTTCCAGCGTTATCACTCTGTGATGGTTCGGTGAACAGGTAACGTGTGTCCTCGCACTGAATTCTATCGGACCTAACATGTGCGGGATCTCCGAACTATCAGTCATAATACATCTACACACTTGGAGTGCACTTGAAACCGATCGAGAAGTCATGGCTTCATAGTGATTTAGGAGAGCAGCCAGTTGATGTGGTTATTTGGCAACGTTTCGCTTCTGACACAAAAGCCTCGTCAAGCCAGGTGAATTGGTACATAGATGGCGTGATATTTTATCGTGATTGAAGGAGACATGGGTCAAGGGACTATTACAAAAAGAGACTGAAATGTCATCTCCAATAGTTCAGTCAGATTGTGATTATTCCAGGGGCTTCACCGTCAGTCACATTGCCAAGTGTCTTGTTGCTGACGACGTGCAATCGTTATCTGGGGATTCCGGATCATTTATTCTAGTGGCAATGTCATTTTTAGTCCTAAAATTCTTCGTTTTAATGTAAAATGCTGAAAGTGCACCCACTCGGGTACATAAGGCATAGATTGACTTGACTCGATGTGCTGCGCCTCACCGTTCCACCAATTTGTGGTTTAGTCAGACAAGTGGACGACAATTAATGACAATGGTAACAATTTTTCCCATTCGGGCATTTTTGTGACTTTTCTTGTTTATTGTTCAGCTCGAGGTCGATATTTTTACGACTACTTTAAGGGATGCCCACTAGTGATGCCTCAAGTGCAACTTATAAACACTTGTAACAGAGTTGGGAGCGAGCACTTCTTCCTGATCGTCTTGTTTGCTGCGATATCTGAAGATCTACGCACGCCACTGCTCTTTCGAGACTTGCTTGACTAACTCTGCCTTTTCACCGACCGGCGTTCGAATAATAAGTGGCAACATGACCCACCTAGCGTATTCGTAACCTACCGACCCGTCTTTACCTCACACCGCCTACGGATAAACTGACCCTCCAGCTTTGCATAACCACGCGTTGGCAGTGAAGCGGCCGAGCACTCTACCAACCTACGGGATTCATGCGTATTTTGTATCGATAGGCGATCAGTTTCTATAAACACGCACTTCTGCATTGTTTTTAACGAAATTATTGCCCATGGTGCATCGTGTCACACACACACACAACACACACACACACACACCTCGATTGCTGAATCGATAACATTTTGCCTGCCCGATCGCGCTTGCAGATAGTCGCCTGAGTCACTTGGAGTGGACCCTTGTCGATGATTGTTTGACAACATCCCATGAACCTCATTTGACGCTGCTGCATGGCTTTCCGCATGCTGGAAAGAGTTAGGACATAGTCAGCCTCAGTATGAAATATTCGTCCGTATTATCCCCTGTTCTGCCACTCCTATCCTGTGGCCGCAGTTGCACACAACACTATGTGCTTTGTTCCAATGGTCAACCGACAGTTTATCGCAAATTATGAAACGCATTCACTTGCTTGACACTTAAAATGTGACATTGGGAACGCGAGTTGCCTGAGATGACCGACTCCACCGGGTCGCAACAGTGATGCGACTCTAACCGCAGTGAAGCATTGCGCAACCTCTTGTTGCTTGATACTAATCCACCTTTGCATTGTATGTTCCACTCGGGTATACTCGATGTGCGCATTTCCCCCGTTTTTCTCAGATTCAGAGACAATACCCACTCTGGGTATGTTACAAGCCGCTTTGGTCGATCGGAACCCCGAATGTCAGCATGCTTTGTTGCATTTGCTGATCGAGCTGTTGAAGTTTGCCATCCTGGACCCCGGTTTACCAAGCTCCCGTCTGGTAAGCACTTCACTTTATGCATATCCACAGCTGTGATGGTTTGATGGTCGTTTTTGAACAGAGGTACGCACGTATGTGGGATTTCCTCGCGCGTAGTCGGAACTTTGAAGTTTGGGCAAATGACACTGTGGCATTGGTATGTCAGCCTATGGAGTTGGGTTCAGCCACATGTTACAACCCAACTGCGGACACGTTTGACTTTACCGTCAGTTATACTTCAAAAAATCACGAAATTACCAATTCCTGCCACCGTGGAATGAACCAAACATGATGCCGAGCTGACACAAGCTCAGGCTTAGGGGATCTTCATTGACAAGGTGCTTAGTCCTACTTTTGTTTACCAGTTAGTTCTTAACTATATAACGTCATATCCGCACACATTGGATGGTCTTCTTAAAACTTTCTGTACACTACGAGCCACATGGCCTCGATTCACTCTCTGGCAGCGCAAATGAACAACTTGGGCTAGCAACATTAGCTTGAGTATCATCAGACTGCCTCCATCCTTTCCGTTTACATTGGCACAGTGAGAACGAATAAGGCGGTGGATGCGTTTTCAGTCTCCTCTGAACAACTGCAGATAGCTTATTACTCATTGGCGTACATTTGGGATCTGCTGCAGAGCTAGAGGTAACCGCACCTTGCAACACAACATCGGAGTTCACACTTTTCTCGTTTTCGAGTGTTTACGCATCCAACGCTTAACATGTTCCTGCTTCAAGGAACATATTCATGTCATGCTTAACTCCTCGGTTAACTCGAAGATTCACTTCACATCAAGGCTGTCTTGCTTCACTTGCTTTTCTCTCCCACCTAGCTCAATGCCATACCCTTTCGTACTTTCTACCAGGTGACGCAACTGCTCGGTCAACGTTTCAGCGAGCTGGAGGTGAATGCTGAGACTGTCACCGGTCTACTGCGAGTATTCCTGATCGGCCGCAACGGTTATGAAGATGACATGTCCGACTGGCTTAAGCCGCCTTGTCACTTCACCGAATTATCGGCGGACCAACAAGCTTCACTGTTAGCCTTTGTGTGTGCTGAGTTGGTTAGTTCCAGCAGACTTATTTCTACAGAAGTGGATCGCACCATCGAACTGCAAGCGGTACTGAAACGTGAGAAATGGGTGTTGGAATCAAAGATCCGCCGGTAAGTTCGGCATAAGAGTTCTCCATTGCGTAACTGCCCACTGAGTTAGTTCCACAGGTAAAAATGTCTTATGTCCCAGTATCAGCGTATATCGATGTTACTTTCTACGCTTTAAACTGATGAGCCGTTTGTCCTATCATAGTGGCACGTCGCACTCGACTAAAACACATTTACTAAGAAGTCTTGCCTCCAGCGCTTTTGGACCGGGGGTCATTAGTCGGTTTCGGTGCATTTCTTTCATTGTTGTGACTCTGAAGTCGGTTAAGTAGGATATTGTCTATGATATTTCAGAACCCACATCTTATTGTATCGATTCCTTTCGAACCTTAGACTTCCTCCATGTGCCTATACCCTACTATCGGTGGGCTGATAGTATGAGACTTCAGGATGCTGGTCACAGGCGAGGCCTATGTTAACTTGACGGGTAGGATAATTTAGTCGATGTTTGACAGATTTTTTTTATTCACGATCAGCTATCATATATGCGTAGTGTTTGGCATGCCATTATCAGCCGATCAGTCACTGAAAAGTTTGTCTAATCATACTCTTTTCCAAAATGCCTACACTTAATGCACCGGGACAGAGGACGATCCGCACTTTAATTTGCATTGACTAACACACACATCGGTTTGCACTAGACCGCTTGTCGTCCTCCGACGTCACTGACGTTGGGCTAATCCACCCAGCCCATTTTGCACTCAGTCCAGTTGACTTGATATTATCAAAATCACACGTATTTCTTCCAACTTCATGGTTTGTCAAATGTGCTCAACGTGACTGTCACCGAGTTCGTTTATCTTGGACTTACTGAATCGGTTTACTGATTACTGGTGCCTATTGTCATTTTGCCACCATAGGGTTGAGTTACTCACGTTTTTATAGCCTCACTTACTTTGAATGCCTTTGAGACTCTGAATAGTGATGCCAATTGTCCAATTCTCCTCCACAGCCTCCGGTTTCTCGTTGCCCGTAAATTTGGTCCTGGAACGACCAATGACGCGGATGTGGTCCCCAAGGGGATGTCAGTTACTCCCACTGCCCCTCTGACAATCAGTTCTGTCACTCCAGAGACGACGGATAACCCGCTGGATGCCAACGTGCCTGAGGAGGATGCGAACGATACTGGCAGCTCTTCCCCGCATCAATCACTAGACGATTCTACCGAAGTCACCAACGCGAATGGGCACATTGGTCATCGTAAGATGGATAATGCAGTGCGGTTCCAGTTTGGCAGACCACCGTTATCCCGAAGTGCGACTCCAGAAGGCCAAGATCTGCCTGAGAAGTCTCTGGGCTTCGCTGCTCCGAACGCATCGGCCACAGCTGCTGCAGCGGTTTCCGCAGCAGCCATTGCTAATGCCTTCTTACCTGGGGACGAGGAAGAGACAGACGACATAAACCAATTGGAATCCATGATAGAAAGCCTTAACCAAGTCGTTGAATATGAACAGAGAGCTATAGACGAATGCACGTATAGACTTTCTGGTATTTTTCTTGGCCATGATCGGTATTATCGTCGATACTATATGTTTGGCCACCTTGGTGGTATTTTCGTCCAGGGAGATCCTAATCCTTCCATCGATTCCCACACCGTCGACGATCTTGAGGGACAGGAGGATCTTAGCTTCGGGTTCGATCCGGATGACCTGGTTGCCAAAATACAAGCTCGCCATAGGCTCGCTGAACAAAGGCGGTACAAAATAAATTTACCCACTCCTGGACATGGCCATCAGCACCATCCACCAACGCCAAGCAGTGCTTCCCACGCCTCGTCGGATCTTCGTCTAACAGAACCCACATCAGGAACTAAGCGTTCTACCGCCTCCAATTCGAGCATTTCACAAGAGACGGCCAATGAAGAGCCATATCAGCGACATCCCGAAGCAAATACGACAGCTGCACAGTCTGAATTAGTGTCTGATGCAACATCCTCAGTGGGTGTGCCTACACTATTTCCTCGGGGCCCAACTGAACCAGACGAATTGACGTCTACTGTCAATTGGGATGTACACGCGGAACTATCGCATGCCGGCCTCGATGCATCGACCAACACGACCAGGATAGACTGCTCAGCGCAAAATCCATCACAGACGGACGCGTCAGTTGACATCTCCACAAGTGGTGATGGGCCAGGAATGGGACTTGCACAAACAAAAGTCCTACCGTTCTCTGTCGTTCAGACTATGATGGTGGACGCTGAACATTCGTCGAACGAGCCACCTAAACTGAAACCTGGTGACGCCGATACAGTGACAACTCTGAGCAACTCAATGTGTGTCCCATTCACGACTGATGCTGAGAACACTGACCAAGCATTAAACAAACTGGAGAAGGCATTTGAAGCAAGGGATTTGGAAGACGGAATCAGTGAGGAATCTATACCAAATACCACGAGGTGGCCAAAAGTGGACGAATGCTTACAAATGCCATACGCATCACGTGCAAAATTTGATCTTCCTCTAGATGAACACATCACATTAGAAAACAACCGCTCCGATACATTCAAAGCAGATCCGATGGAGTCTTCCGAGGTTGATCGGGAAGGTTTGATAAAATACGTACTCAAAACTGATACAATCTTGAAGCCTGAAGAAGTTTCTAGGCATTCTTCCCTTCACTCAGTTGAAACAGATGAAGGGCGGTCAAGTTTAGCTCCACTGTCCCGTAAAAGCAGAGATTCCTCACCGTATTCTTCACTCACTACATTCCAAGTAAGCCGATGCGAGCAGCTGTCACCCATCAAAGCCGATTCCCCATTATCGACTTTCCAGCCATTGGATCTTTCGACAAAACCCAAATCAGATGTTCACAATACTTCCCTCAACATCCCAACTAGTTCCACAGACAATCGTTCCCTGGAAAGTAGTTTTGAGTACATTGCAGGATTGGGCTTAGACGATGTCGTGCTCACAACCGCTGCCTTGTTGTTTATGACACACACTTCCCTCATTCCCGCATCAGTCGCGTGTAGTGAGGCCTTGTTCGAGCCATGGAAAACTATGATTGCACATTACAAATCCATTTTAATTTGGGCTCTCATGGAAGATGCCAGGGAGGAACACGGGATTGTTGCTTCTGACCGACCCCGGGGATCCACGGTTACTGGCCCAGAGAGCCTATGCGAGGCTGTCTTGATAATTAAAAACTCCTTAATGAGCAGCTCAACCCAAGCGGAAACTGATTCAAAGTATATGACGGAAGGTACTGTGAAAACTGCGGAGGATGATCCAAGCAGTTTAGCAGTCATTTCCGATTCTGAGATTGAGGAACTAGTAAACCGGGAATTAGAAGCGCAGAAAGTACAGTTGCCTCCTGTCAGTGCCTCTTCGAGACCCAAATGTGCGTATTCCTCCAAGTGGTGTTGTCTGACAGATGCCCGAAAACTGGATGAATTACTTCTTGCTTTATCATCCAGAGGAACACGCGAGCGAGACTTGACAAAAAAGATCAAACGAGCCGAAGAATTTCTTCGTCCGTCGCTTAGAGTCGCCTCCAAAACACGTGAGTTTTTCCGCTGACCCTTTTAAAGTTTGGTACAGCTCGTTTTCACTGGTTGCTCCGTACCAACCTTTTTCAAGTCTCTACTCAAAATCAAAACCGCCTATGTACATGTGCGCGTGAATAGCAAGTTAATTTTCTGACGTATAGATGTATTGGTCTGATTCTGCGTGCGATTGCACTCCCTCCTGGAACACCTTCCGTCCCTAATTCTCACTCGACACTGTGTGCTTGCATAGAACCAGGGAGATAAAGTAGGTAACCCAGTCACTGTCGTCACACCGGGGTGCCGCATTCGTGTGCTTGAACATGGACGGGATCAAATGTCACATGTGTACTTAAACGGATTTTATTGTAACAATGAGTTTATCTTGTTGTTGTGTCACATCACATTAGGCAGCTTTGAATGTGCACTGCCAGGCAAAGACCACTCAACGTACTTGCTCACCTACAAACCGGTTTCAGAACTCATGGGGAATGGATACATGTTCCTCCTTCCAGCACGCTCCCCGGATTCAGGCATCTCTCTTGTATGCGAACTTCATTAATTTTGATGACGTCTGTTTGGTAATTAGTTCTGTATATATCTCCCTGCCATTCTGTTCCTTACTTTGATGCAGTCAACGAACTTGTCTCGGAGCTGGAAAGTGCTAACGAACCGCGCTTCCTACGTGTGCGTTCTCGTCGCGGAAAAGGGCGCGGTGGTAGTGCCGGAATCAATGCCCAATCACTCTCCAACCCCAACTTCTCAGTCAGCACCGTTGGTCCGGCGGAAACCGGCGTGCCCTCATCCGAACTTGCCATGAACATTGAGTGCAATTCTAATGAATTGGGTATTCCCAATGAGTCGAACGATAGCGACATCCTCATGCTAGCTGGTTCGGAATCCAATCAGGAAGCTACGTCGAGCTCAGGCAATGTATGCCAAGATGGGTCGAACACGGTCACTGTGTTGGAGCATCGCCTTCGGCGGCGGGTGAATCAGCAAGCAGTTACTCGTTCTGAGCTCAACGGCGCCGTGTTGAAGTCAGTTGTAGAGCATCTGGAGAAGAGACCTGGAATGCCCGCATACAAAGCAACTCAAGATAGCCAAGTGAACGGACAAAGCTTGGCTGAACTGGTAGGTAGCGGTGACCCTCTTTTTGCAATGGAATGTTGCTTCCTGGAAGAAGTTGAAGCGCTTGAAGACCGAGTACTCAATGCCAGCTTACAGATAAAGGGATGGCAGGTAATTCAGCGGTATCGCTCAGTTGTTTGCAATAACACCTGTTCATATGGCTCACAATCAGTAATCGATGCTCCTTTGCTCCTGAGGCCTTTTAAACTTGGCATTGGATTTCAGAAACATCTGAGCTGTTTAGTTGACCTTTTGTCATGTTGTCAGTTATGAAGTCTCTTAAGTGAGAGATGCTGCCATTAGGCACACCTCATGATATGAACCACGCTTCTTAAGCTCCCACGCTGTCTGTCTGATCGGTCTATCTGCTCTCGTGGTGTGTTTGGAGGACACCTCGCACATTATGCCATCGATACCAATAGCACTTGAAAGTCATCACCATAGATTTCACTACCCAGAGTTGGCAAGCGACGAACGGTGATCCGCGTCTCAGCAATCCACAGCTTTAAGATCTGCGTGATTGGGGGGGGGGGGGCTGACAACTAACGAATGGGTATCTTAAACTGTCACTGGTAACATAACTTCTGTGCATCAGATGCTGGTGCGACAGAACTTCTTGCTATTAGATCTCCCATCTCTCCTATGCATTATCAGCATTTCTGACCCTCGTTACATGCATGGCGGAATCGAGTGAGTCTGTAACCAAATGACACTTGCTGCACACCGTCCACCGAGTTAACCCAGATAAGTCACTCACCTTCCTAATGCGCCGTCTGAAGTCCCACACTCATGCTACTGAGAACCATCGTTTTCCATCAAGAGCGTTAGCTGTTGTGAGTCCAAAAACAGCTGACTGTGATTCTAAATCTACCTCGGTAGCGCAAAGCACTTGGGCGTCTACAGATATCACATGACTGTTTTGACATATCTATTAGTGATTCATAAGGATGCACGTAGTGACCGAGCCCCCTCTCAACTTGCGTCTCGTGATTTTCATGCTTTTGTCTAAAGTGAATTCATCCCAAATTTTACAAATGAAGATCACTTCTCATTAATGCTCCGTTTTTTGCTCAATACTTCACAGGCCCCTGCGAAAGTGCTGGACGATGAGACAGTTCACCTTATCCCACGAACCACACCGAAACGATCCCGTTTCGAGCACTGGCCACTGGATCTTGCCCGAACCCGGTTACTCAATCTAGAGAGTCACTTGGAGCGGCGTTATCTGTTACCACCATTGAACTCGGAAGTTCACTTGGATATCGTGTCTGATCCGGACACGGGCGCGATCGGTGATGGAACTCGATTGCTCTCCGAATCACAGGATCCGGAAACCGGTAGCGAGAGCGGTCTTGGCGGGGGCCCAGGCAGTGAGAGTACAAACACCAGCATACGGGAAGGAGAGACTGGAACAAATGGCGCAAGTCACTATCCTCAAATTCGACGTGTGGTTGGGAAGCAACCCCTTCCGCACGAACAGGCAGTGACCCCGGCAACACATCAACCACCGCCGGTTGGACATCATTCCGTAGATATACCGGACTCGACGAACTATTTATTCGGCTCCTTGTACAGTGAACAACTGCCTCCAGGTCTAATCGAATGGCGCCACAAATTGCACCGGGCAACGGAGGTGGAAACCATGCGAGCGTGTCTAAACCAGCTGATTGAAGCGATTGCTTGGGATAAATCCATAATGAAAGTGGTAGGTGCCAGTTCGTAATTGGTCACTTCGGTATACCCCTTGCGATCACAAGAGCATTCCACTGTGGGTGCATACTTCGTTGGCCCACCTAAATGACATTGTTTGGTTCGAGATGTCTCAGGCCCATCCGTTCAATGTGCTATCGCTTTGTCTATCCGTATGATCAGTACCGTTTTCACTGCAAACCCAGACCCAGTAGTCAGTTGTAGGTAGGGAGTAACTGTTCAACATTGTCGTTTAGAAATAATGCTGAAATTTACCGTGGTTCTCAGATCCCTTCAATCGCAAGCTGTCTTTGCAGAGTCGCCCTACCCTTCCTTTTTTGGCGACGTTGCTCGACATCCAGCCACATGCTGCCTGTAGACACATATCACCTGCCGAGGAGGTTGTTCTGAACCTCGGCTTCTGCTCACTCACATAAATCATTAAGCTGCTAGTCCTTCCTTTCCGTATTCATTATCAGACCACACATTTATCTTGCATTTGTGTAGAGCCGCCCTCATCTGATCGCCCCTGTGTGTTGTACCACCTTTACAATGTGTTCGTCATGATGGGTTGCGCAAGCGCACCTGACCCACGTACGCTGTTACTTCCCATACTCTGACCGAATGCCCGCTGGATGCTGACGCCAGAGACTGTCACTGTGGGAGTTATCACTTTTTCCACTGCCCAGATGGATGCCTGAGGACGGAAATGGTGCTCATCCATTCACTTAGACATGATCCTTTTTACCATAGAAACAAAGCTCGGGTGTTCCATAAAAATTGACTGTCAGTGGGTGCATTCGTGAGTTCTACTATAGAACTCGAAGGAGCAATCACCTTCTCCGGTCCGCAATTGCTGCCTTCGAAAAAAATCGATAAGGGGATTCCGTGTGCCACCACCCCAAGTCACAGTACAGACCGCATTACAAGCCGTTTGCTTTTTTTGTATACGTATCACGGTGCCAACTCTCGTATTCGGGATGTCATAACCGCGCTCATCGATATGCACGCGGTCTATCGATTACCGTTGCCAGTAAATGGGTGACAGTTTAACGATCTAATATATCGATCAGTTCATACTTTTTGCATCGTCCCCGCTTGGGTGCAAGCTCGACTGCGACCAACTCAGTCAGGTGACCAAAGACCTGAGCTCCAGTGCACACATTGACTGTATACCGTGGTTAATTTTTAGCTTGGTGCGGGACGAGGCAATCTATTTGATGTTTGCTGTAAGCAATGGAGCGTACAATAAACGAGAGAAAAGTGTTGACACGGTAGGTTTTGCGAGTTTGCATAGTGCTAGCCTTAGCTTATTTTTGAAATGACTTCACTGGGCTGCTTGATGCCCTCACCGAGCACACCCATATGCACACACACAAGGTGTCACTGTGATCCCATCAGTCTTTTATGATTACCTTTTGGCAGCTGGACTAACCTCCTTGATTTCATTGCCAACTCATTCCCACGAGTATCTAGGCACCCGGTTGATTAACTGAGCCAGGTACCATTGTAGCTATACCTTCCCTCTCATCCGAAATAAGTACATGATTGCACCTTATCCACAAAATTTACACCGTCGTATTAGCGCTACTCGTACAGTACGGGAGTAATAATCACTAACAAGCTTGATTAATTGCAGAAAATAAGCGCCACACTCGACGATGTGAGCAAATTCGAACCTCTCAAGAAGGCAAAAAATATGACTGAACTCGAGACCCGTTTTTTCCCTTCCCTTATAGACTTCTCCTTCATCCTGTGATAGTGTTACTTGCACCAATCTAAAGACCCTGACCCCATTTACTCAGCAGTTGTATGGGTTGCTAAAAACAAGCAAATGAAGTGCGGCTCCGGCCGATTCTTTAGATGCTGAATGCTCCCAGCATAAACTAGCTCGTTGACTAAGGAACATTCTTTCTCCACTGGGATAGTTGGTCAACTCAGTCTTTAGGACTCACTCCAGCTTATCGATGACGACGGTGCGATCAACTTCTCGGAAAAAATTATGTTTTCCTTGGATGTGGAACCTGTCTTCGCCGGCCCGTAGCCAAAAGGTCACGCGCGTATCTCGTAAACTGGTGGAGCGAGTCCGAGCCTGTGCATGGACAGGGCGACCCTCGCAGTATCCTTAGCCCACATGCGACCGGTGGTGGTTGCGCGGCAGCGAAGCGTCGGCACTGCGTACCGGCGTACTGCTGATACTTTCTTTTTTCTTCACTAACGTTCCTCTATATGTTCTTTGCCGACTCTGGTCAAATTGCTGAGCGATTCTTTGCTGTTGTGCACATAGAATGTTGATTTTCACTTTCGGTGCATGCCATACCACCAGATTGAGGGGTTCGCGATGGACAGCCCACTAGGTGTTTTGTTGGCAGATTTATTTGTGCTTATACTCGAAAGAAGAATGTCCACAGTGATAGGCCAGTTGTCATACCACAGCGCTATGTTGCTGCCATTTTGCTTTCTCTTCATTAGAGCAACAGATCGTGCAGCTGTTAGAGCGCCTCAACTTGCGGATGACCTGCGAGAAAGAGCGAGGAAATCATCAGTCATTTCGGGATATTATTAGTATCAATCGCAGAGAGAACGGACTAGTCAGAAGATTTGCTTTTACCGAAATGCAGCATGGTCCGGCTAGTACATGTATTACACCAGCTTTACACTAATGCGGTACAAATGGACACTTGTGAAGACCTTAGTCATGCCAAACGAATTTGCTCTGCCGACTGCCTAACCGGTGGGTTGGAATGAATTACGACCACGCTGACGTCAAACGGTCCTCATCCTCATCAACGGCAGTACATTAGGCGTGTGAACTGATGCTTCGCTGCCATACAACCATAAAGACCCATGGAACAAAGAATAATAAGAGGGAGAGAAGGGGGACTTACCGGAAACCCTTAATGCCCTAAGCAAACATTCAGAGTCAAGGCGCCTATAACTTGTCAAAAACATGCCATTACAAACAGCTGGCTGTCGTGCAAAGATAAGGCGGCATCGGCGAGACAGCTTCCTTGCGGCTTTCACTGCCCCACGTCATAATCAGGCATTACCCCGCACATTAATCAGTACCAAAGACACTGTAAACAGGCAATCCGGTTAGGAGACGGCAGCAGACGCGCCACTGGTGTCGGTTGCGAGCCATGTCCTGTAAAGTCTCGAGCCAAGCACAAGGCGAGTCACGTGAACTGCAGCCCGGAAGGCGAGACGGACTAACGGCACCCAGTTTGGTCGTCATTGACTTCATTTCCCGCTGTCGAGTCAACTTCTGCCCACCTCGAGCTTTGCGTCATCCTACATCTAGTAGACTAAACAAGGACCTCCTAAGTAAGCGGTGATCACGCATACGTAGCACGTGCCCGAGCCAACGCAACTTATTCAGTGCTATCTGTTGTTATAAGGAACTAGCTTGGGTATTCTTGCCTAGCACTGGTCTACGCACATCATCGTTGCGGACACGCTGCTACTACCCGTTAACGGCAATACTCCGCAGACAGCGATGATCAGAGACTTGAAAGTGCTCCAGATCTTCAGATCGAATGGGCGAAGTTTCAGTCCGATAGAGTAGCGCGGCCCTCACTGTGGCCTTATAAACACGGCCTTTCAGACGGAGGGAAACTCTTCTGTCGCAAAAGATATTGCAGATTCACGTCAAACAGTTACCCGCGAAGATTTGTAAAAAAGCACGGTCAACCACGAAAACTAAAAGACTTGGTACAGGAGGCAACTAAGAAGAATCATCATTCATCATTATACACGTTAGCTGCAGGTGGAATACACCTCAGCCACTTCCGCGACGCATAACAACAGAAAAGAAAAAAACGTACAGTAGGTGCATGCCAGCTGAGCTGCCAGTAACGGATGGGCATCGTTCCGGTAAGCTACCAGCCGGCTACTATGCAGTAAAAAATTTATTATGCAAAATTATATTATGCTAAGATATGAGATCGTGGTTGAAGGGGGAGGGACAAAGAAACTCACAGCACGAACCCCACTGAGGTCGGTTCCTAGCCATATCAACAAGTGTATCCAGCCAAACGTGTTCATCGTCTTTCGGACCCCAACCATCGAGCCGAGAAGCTCCAACCGAGGCCAACTTCGAAGTAAAGACCTTCAATCCTCTTGACCAAGTTATCGCTTAGCCACCCCTCCTTCCATCCACACCCCGGCGCGCAAACAACCCACGTCGCGGGAGCCGGTGGGCCTTCATGTGTAACACGTGGTCGAGCCATCGGAGCCTGGTGCATGAAATAACGGTGCTGAGCGGTTCGTTTCATCTCTTTGTGCCATGAACAAGACGTCGAACACGCTCATTGCTCGCGTGGTGTTCCCACCAGATGTGAGCGAAACTGCGAAGGCACCAGTGGTCGAAGTTAACTAACTGATGTAACTAACTAACTAAGGGGAAAGTTTTATTACGAATTGCTTTTTCAAGGATGATCTTGCCACTTTAAGGACCACTAAGCGCTTGCTCGCTGCAACGCATAAGAACTGTCATGTTGCTCAAGTCATCCACATCAACTGAACCAGAAATTTGCCGGTACCTCAGCCGATGGAGGCTTTGCCAATCGGCGCTAACTCTCATTGTGTATACCAATTTACGTGTGACTTCGGAATCAATTTTATTAGTAGAACCAATATGGCATTGTCTTCATGGATGAGGGAATATGTACGGAATTGGATCTTGTCTGAGATAGACCCACAATCATACCCTCCACACCCTACCTTTACGTAAGCCGTCGCCGTTGTCGATAGGTAAACGCTTACTGATTACCGGTCACCGGTTTTTGCTCAATGCTGAGTTTAACCTCTTGCCTCATAACTGTAATCCACGATTCCTTCGGTTTGCTGAGATTATCGCGATTGGTATAATGCAACCAGTGCGATGTGTACACAAACAGTTATTTGTCAGCCTCAGACTGCCGTGCAAATAAGGACAGAATCGATACCATCCATTTTTGAACCTCAGGTTTGTTTGGTCATATCCACCGTTTGGTATTGTTTCATGTCGGTTATTGT